TGGTCAGCGTGAGGCATCGCCAGGAACAAAGTTTCGACCTACTGCGGCCTCAGGGCTTGTCAGGAGGCCCAACATCTGTGAAGAGAGCCCGCGGCATGGGCCTTGTTGCGAAGTCAATTTATACGCGCTTTTATTACATAATATTTTTAGGTTCCAGCGGAGTCCCCAAGGTGCTCAGTGGAGGAGTCTATGGGCGAGAAGGGGTCTGCTTGTGGTGTAGGTAGGTCTGCAATAACAAGTGGGTCGAACTTTCGCAGTTGGCAAGTTGATGCAAGTAATTAGTTTCAACCATTCAAATGTTCCTATGGTGGCTTTTACACTCAAAGCGCAACAAGTAACTAGCACCACGGCACATCTGCCACATGCGCAGCTCAGCTTTACAGATCGCTCTGCACTGCTTCGAAGCCTGTGGCTGAGCAAGCCATCTTTTCGTGCAGCTTGTCTGCTTGCTCATCTGGCAATTTCACTCTGCTAAAAGAATGGCAGCTGCCAAAAGTTGCCAACAATGTCTGCCTTCTAGGTTGCATTCGTTTGAAGCTGGATGTGCCGTGACCGCGCGGAATTACCTTCTACAACTAGCCTGAAACCTGCCAGCTGGATTCACCCATATCACGTCCCTGCCTTCGGCTTCTTGCTAGGAGCTGTTGCACAAGCTGCAACGGCATTACCTAGGTGTCAAGGGCTGCGCAAGGCGCATGGAGATGCGGCATCATGCGACAGACTACTTGCACATGCTATAGCAGCCCGGTGATGGTCGCAGGATTCTGCCCCTGCACAAGCCTGCGTGACAGAGCTTGCTTCAGAAATCTGCTATACTACCCGAAAAGCAACACAGCTGAAAGAAATTACTCACATCTTGCCAGACCTGTCGTTCCCAGTCTGATCAATGGTCATCAACCGTCAACAAGTTACATGCTTCACTGTGCGAGGGGCGATTTTTGACAAACCAACATTGCACCATATTGAACCGTACAGAAGCATAAAACATTCCTTAATGCTACCCTGAAGCGATGGGCCGATTGTGCTGCATGGGCATCAACTTTGTTCTCCTGCCCCCTGTAGTCAGTGTTGTTGCTACCAAGGTCAGCGTTACAAAATTGTAGCCCATGAGCTCAACAGTCTCGCGCGTAGGAGAACTGGAAGCTTTGAAGCAAAAATCTAACAGAAGACTCGGAGCATCTTGCGGGATACCGTCTCTTGATAGTAGAGCGCAGAGCGCTGGCCGCACAACGCAGCCAGATCTTCTCCGAACTGTGGACACAGAACAGTGCAGAAATTCAACTTATGCCAGCGCCCGCTTTAGCGAAACCAAGGCACTAAAACACTGCACCGAGGCACGAACGGTAATGATTTCTAGTTTGATGTAAACTGTCTCACCCCCAGGTCAAGTGCTTTGAGTAATCGTGTGGATTGTGCGAGGAGATATGAGGAGCACAGAGTTTGAGGTTCAGGCAATATTCACAATGGAAAAATCCGAACAAGACACCTATGTCCTAGAATGTAGCATGCACCCTGATTAGCTTTCCGGAGGGCATTGGAAGCGATACCTGGATATGAGACATGCCTAGTGCCCTCAAACTGGGACGATCGACCCGCCCGCACCTCGGACAAAAAAGCCAAGGCTCCGGCGATGCGCAAGGACTCTGGCATTCAATGGCCCCTTGTCAGTGAACCTCCTTCGCAGTGCATGCTACATGAGATGAATGAATGGAGCTAGAATGGCCAGTTCACAGCCGTAAGTTCCACGCGCATCCCCCGAGCTCCCTCCATGCAATACCTGGCAACACTCCAGCGCTGCATGGAAGTCTAAGTCATTGTCGACAGCCATGATTGTCTCCTACCTGTCTGTTCCGAAATCTGTCTGGTCCGAGCACCTCAGGGCAGACAGCCTGAATTTTTCGCACAGGCTTTACGGAATTTCCTGTGCCTGGGGCTCAGTAGCAATTGCAGGCTTCAATTGGTCGAAAAGGCTAGAAAGCAAGACACAAATCGTGTTTTATATAGCTTCATCACAAATGCCACACCGAGGGACAGAAGTCTTGACATTTGTGGATTGCGACATGTTGCGGTCAATGGCTAACCTCATCATGCAGCAGATGCGTCTCCAGCGTGTTATTCAGCAAGCGGCCATGCAGCACTGAAAAGTTTGGACCAGCAATTTTTGTAGAGTTGCTGTTGGGCACCGAGGTAGCCGAAAAGCCAAGGTTCGGCCGACCTCAGCACATTCAACAGGACTTCCTAAAAACGTACTTGTCGGAGCGTGCCCGACTTCTGGCAGCCGGGAATTCGCTATTGCTGCAAGCTTTTGATCCTAGACCCACTGGGCTTTTGACACCTGCGCTACGATACTGGAGCCAGGCAGCAGGGGCAAAGCGAATCAAAGGGCAAACATCAGCTTGAAGGAGCCAATGAAAGAGTTTTTGCTTGCAGGCAAGATCCTTCGAGTGCTTCAACCGGACCAGACGGGCACTGCGATTGATAAGGTATTGCTACGAAGAATTAAGCAAGAGCGCTAGAAAGCTGGCGTTGCCATGTCGTTTGAAGCTCATTTCAATCATCCATAATCATCCACTCCACTGTCGCACCAGCCCCTTCTGAAAAGTCTTTGTACATCAGCAGGCACCTAGCTTGCAAAATCGGCTTCACCAGCGCGACGACTGCATTCTGAGTATTCTGTATCTTCAGCTCCTTACGGACGGTCAAGCCGATTTTCTCGGCGTCCTCCGGGAGCTTACGACAAAGTGTCCAGACTATTCCAGAAATTGCGTAGCTTTATTCTGACACAGTCAGGTCACAAGTCACGACACGCTGATTCTACAGTATAATCTTTATGACAAGCTTGGACCGCACCTCCCGTGGTAGATGTCATAGATAATTGATGGATCTGACCTCACTGAGCATCTCATGCACTTGGCGCTTGACCCTGATGCTTGCTTCTTGGGCTTGAACTGCGGAGGGTACTCGATAGGCCTGTAGTGCCTCAAGAACTGTCAGTGGCCTTCAGCAAAGTATTGCTTGTAGACCGACAACGCTTAAGGATCTGACCGAATGAACCACTCCTGTGGCATGATACTCGCTTGCAAGGCACATGACAAACAAACGTCACCAGGTCCTGAACATCTGGATGATTTCCAACAAGGACCAGGAAGGTTGGTAGTGAAAATACAGCGCAGACCCATGCAATTCCTGCGCATTCGGAGACGTAAATCTCAGCAGAAAGCTCCTGACTGGCAGATTCTGTCCCTGAAGCCTTGCTGCTTTCGAAGCTTTCGAAGAGGTCCCGGACGGGAGAACTGGTTGTCGAAGAAGCCCCAAACTGTCCACAAAGAGCACACCACACAAATTGTCCACACTTTGGGTCCTCTCGTCTCGCTTAGGCTTAGAAGCTCCCCAAAAGCTATTTTTAGTGTTTTCCGTGCCTTGCGGGCTCCGGAAGAGCATCTTCTACAGGATCACCCCTGCATTTCCTAGCAAATGGCTATGGGCTTCCAAGTGGAATCTCCGAGCAGCGTCACTAGAAGCACATTTGAGATAGCACAGATTCAATGTTGCAGCCCGCTGCACCGAACTCCTTTCTCTGAGCATCAGTTCTTGGTATATCTTTATTGAGTCAGCTTGAAAGAAGCTCTTTCGGAGCGCGCATGTGTCTGGATATGCTGTACAGCGTCGACGACGGACATGTTGCTGATGCGCAACAAACGAAGTTCTCTGTACAGTTCATTGATCTAGGCTCATCAGTTCGAGCTCCAGTTAACAAAGGCGCCACCTCGCTTCTTTCATCTCTCCATGCATCCAAGCACACAAATTCCGAGTTCCGCGCGGCCACCTGCTCCAAGCTTGGAAGGCCCTGTCCAGGTACCTTGTTGAGAGATGCCTTCTTACAATTTTGTTTTACTCCGGCTCCCGGACGCTCTGCTCCCAGCCTCGCCGAAGGCCGCCACCAACGCCACCCACACCTGGGCATCACCGCCAGACGGCCACGCTGCTACGGACCTTTTGCATAGGCACGCTGCTTGCAGCACCACCAGCAGGTCGAGGCACCAGGTCCTTGGCAGCTTGCCGCACTTCTGCAGGTTCTGAGGGCTAGTGACTTTGGCATGGCAAGGCAATTTTCTTCGCATGTTGAGGTGCGGGCGTTGGATCTGCTCCTGACACAGCACTTCAAAGTGACACTGGATAAAGCTGCCACGTCTTGGAACACCTGCAATACTGCGAAGCATCGCTCGTATGTGGTGACGGCACATAAGCTCCATCCGGGCTATGCGGCATGGTGCCACCTCTCGCATTGAAACAATCGCTATATGATTGCTAGGTCTAGACGTGAGTCCAGAGCCTTGCACTATCTGAGTAGTTCTGCCCGAGGAATCGGTGCGCTCAATAATGACCTGAGAGTATGCTTGAGAGCAACACTTAGTGACAAGGCATCAAACATGTTATTCACCAGGCCCTGGCCGTACCATCTGGTCGCTTGATTCGCGTTATCTTGACATCCCACGACCTGCAGGCGAGCTTCGACTGGTTCGACGGGACCACCGGAGCTTGTCAGAGCGCGCACTTCTTGCTGGCTGATGCAAGCCCAGGCTGCGCACCTAAGTATGCTAATTAGGCAGACGTCGTTTCTCTTCGAGTCCTTGCTGGCCCCTGGGCCCGTGGCCTGGAACGTCCAGAAAATCATCGAAGGGGTCAACGCCACCAAACAGACTCTCGAACAGAGTGGCAGCCTGGCACATACGAGCTTCCCCATGAGATTCTGATGGATGAACAAGAACTGGCCACATGTTATGATGGCAACGAGTGTGCCACCTCATGCAATGTGAAGCTCCTGGCAATGTACGGACCTGTACGTGCAACTTGGTGTTTCACAGAGGTGACTTTGCACCATGCCCGCCTTGGCCACGGACAGCCTCACCCGCCTAAGAGCAGAAGCAGCTAAGCCAGAGCTAAGCCATGCCGTGGCCTGGACACAACACAACTTGGTGCTTAAGACCCACGCTGTTTTTCTGGGTTCCCATCTCTGCTTGGCAAAAGGATTTCCAGGACCCTCGCCAGGCTTCTTCCCCCACCTCAATGTGATACAAAGTCAGGGAAAACTATCGGGACACAACCTTGCCAAATGAGCTACCACTGGAACCCTTCATCGTTCGCAGTGTGGCCGGCGGGGGGCTGGGCCTCAGCAGCCATGGATGCTTGAGAACGAAGGCCTAATAACGACCAATGCTCGTTGCCAGCACACGAACGTCTGGCAAGCGGATCCCAAAGCAAACATGGGGCCGGCGGCAACCCACTCGTCTGGAATATTCGCGCATGCACTTCACAAAAATTTGGAACTCGTCCTTCGCTTCATCTACCGAGTAAAACTCCATGCCTGCGCAGTAACAGAAGCCCACCCGAGCTGGAAACAAACAAATGCTCCCAGGTTTCCGTGCTAGGGTCGAAAAGCTGATGACAAAAAATACCCACACAAACCCACTCAAAATTCCTGGATCTCGACTCGCGCAGCAAGGCTGAAACCAACGCCCACCATCCTTTTCTGTAGGTAGAAGCATTCTGGACAGCACTTCCTGAAACTAGTCTTTCGTGACTCAGGCTCATATATAGGAAGAAAGGATCGGGAAAGACCCCGACAGCAGAGGCCCGGAAGCCCCTATACGAGGAAACAACATCTTCACTGAGCACAATTTTGCAAGCAGCGAGCTGGGTTTGACAATTTATCGCAAGCATTACTCAGAAGCGAAGCCATGAAAGAAGGAAGGACACAGTCAAACAAGCATGGGGCCGCCACTCCGTAACTGTTGGATCCACTCCCCACCCATCCTATAGGAAACTTGCAAGTCAGGGTCTCAGGGTGCAAGGGTTTGTTGATTGCAGCTGGGGTTTAAAGAATCTGCTTCTCCACAGAATCAATCATGATACAACATGCATCTGGCCAGGAAGAGCGCTTGTTTTGAGATACATTCGCTTCGTATTTTATTCAGACGTGTTTGTTGTTCTCCCCACTCCCTGCCAAGCCAGCATTAGGAGGAAGGGCCCGCAGCCTGAGCATAGGAGCGGGGAGGATGGAGGGCCCGTAGCCCAACAGGATGGAAAGGCCCCCAGCCTGACCAAAATCTCAAGGCAGCTTACATTACGTTGTAACGGGGCCGCAATGCATTCCACGCCACCCTTTAATACGAGATACTTTTTTGAATGCAGATGCCGATTGAAGGTCTGCAGCAAGTTAATGGCAGGCAGCAGCGGAACCTGACTCGTGGGAAGCTAAATGCTGAGGCCAAGGCTTGACTGAGGTCGTACTGACGTCGCTTCTCGGCGTTGCTGAGCGTGGAGTAAGCCTCTGCGAGCTCCTTGAACTTCTCCTCAGCCTCACGTACTTTAACTACACACAGGGTTCAAAGCAGCTCCCTTGCGCAAACTAGCAACTGATTCTGGCCTCTTTGTTGCCAGGATTCTTGTCTGGGTGGTACTGGATTGCAAGCTTGCGGTAAGCCTGCAAACATGAACCAAGAGTGACATCAGTTGTGCGATCACTTGTTGATTTGTTCTTGTCAGGCATAGCCTTCTTGATATCTGTTTCAGGCGCGTGCTGATCGACGCCGAGAACCTACAGGTTGTTCAGAATCGCATTGGCCAACACATGCAAAGCCACTCCTATAACTGTAAGGCACAACGATCCAAAGCAAATCGCTATGTGAGGACAGCATGTGCAGCGCATATGGACACATGAATTTAGTCGGGAAGCCTTGTAATAGTCTCTGCGGAGATGCGACATTGGCAGCTGTTGCAACGTGCATCTGAAAGCTTGCTGCCGCAACTGAATCCTGTAACAAATTCAGGGCACGGTGAAGTTTTTGTCTGCCAGCAATCATTGCCAGGGCTGCTCATGAAGAAATGATGTGGCGGAAGCAAGGCGAAAGCATGCCTGAAGCTGGACCATGCAGAAATCAAGCAGCTGACTACGGCCTGACATTCTCCAAGTTGAAGCTCTCTCTTTCGTTGGCATCCTCGAGAAGATTCGGTGCGATGGCATCTGTTGGTAAAGGAGTTTGCTCTGCCAACGTTGTGAACCTTGCTCATCCGCTTCGCGGACAGGCACCAGGGCCATGCTTGTTGCTGCAATGATGGATGGAGTTTATGTAGAAATTCAGAGAGCCCTTCGGAAAATGCTGTCAACATGTTTCGTGCAGGAGCTTCGGCCTCATCCGCGCATCTTGCGCATATTGCGACTGTAAGCGTTACAACCATGTCCGCAAACACGGACCAGCCCAGTCAGACCAAGCTGAAATGACTGTGCATGTGCACATGGAAAATGATCACCTTTGGATCTTACGCTTGCCCCTCCGTAGCAGTACTGGACGAGGCAGCCAAAGGCATACATGCCTTTTGACCAGACATTTCTTTCAGCGAAGTCGATGGTGACTTCATCTACTTCTTGCCTTTTTTTGCACCTTTCCTGAGGTTGCTGGACACACGCTTCGCATAGCAGTAGGAAGGATGCAAAACACCTGAGACTTTGACTTCTTCTTGCGAGCCTTCTTTGCCCTGCAAGGCGACCCCACATCTTTCGCGCAACAGGGAAGATCTGAGGCGTCGACCCTTTTTGACGCCAGATATGTATGATGTCCTCATCAGAAACCCAAGCATGACAAGACTAAGAAAATGCTCCACATCATGCTTCAGTTTGTCATGATCGCTGTGGCATCTGAGGCTGCAGGTAATGGTGCTGAAGCCACTACATCATAGCAGGTCTCCAAACCCAGCAGCCTACGATTCGCTCGATGGTTTTGACTGATTATCGGGCATTTTGCTTCCGAAGTGTATTGCCAGCTGTTGCCTGTATGGAACGTGAGGGGTAGCCATGCTGGAGCATTCTGCAGGATCAGCTTTTGCTGCTGCAACCTGGGTTCAAAAACCCATGGAAGAATTAGGCTCTGATGACTGAGGCAGATTCGGTGACATACGTGGACAGCAACGAAAAGGGCTCCGGACGGACAGCCTGTTGGTTGTGATAATGCAATTAGACAGGGAAAGATAGGACGAGCATGCCGCGGGCAATGAAAGAAACAATGATGTGCAAAGGAACCAGCCGCAGGTGCCTGTAATGATGAAAAATGCTGCTAAGACTCAGTGTTCTTTATCATTCTTTTTTACCTGCTGTAGTCACATTAGCATGCCATCCTTCGCTATTCCCTACATGTGTCATTTATTCTCATCAAACCCGCCATATCTGCTGACAACGACGACGACCATTGCTGTGCAGTCCTGGACTGAAGGACAGGGAGATGACGCTGGTGACGATGATGGTGCGTATGTGGTGTGCTTCTCATTGACCATTGAGGTCATCCGAAGCACCATCTTCATGGACCGTGTTGACCATGCTGAGATGACAACGGATTGTAAGAGGCGCCGGATGTAATGCTGAGGCTGGTTGATGTTTTCTGATATGGTTTAGGGTAGAGCACTGAGTCCTGATTAGCGAAGCTCCATGACGGCACGGCGCATTCCTTTAATTGTTTCTCACCCTTGTCAGGGGTTTCAACTGGTCAGGGTATCGCCTGGAAGAAGTGTTGGGGCCTGGGAGGCTAATTCAAAGGTTGAGATTTCGAGGCTTCACTTTTGGAACCTCTAGGCTTCTGGCCACAGAGTTTCGAGCTGAATCCAAGACCAGACATCCGAAGCATCCAGGCCATCATCTTTCAAAGGCTAGGGCTGCTCCGGAAACTCGGAGCATGAAGGCTTTCAGCCTGCAACTTTGTAAAGCTGCTGGAGCTCGATGCTCAGAACCACTCCAGATTCTGATCGTAGGCCTGACAGTTGTTGACTCCATTTTCGGTTTGGGGGTTTGCACGGGCTCAAGCTTGCAGAGACCTATCGATGAACAGGGCGACAGCCATGCAAAGGCCAATGCTGATCAGAAGAGAAAACGCATGCAAGCTCCTTCCAGACGTTCTGACTTGGATGGTGCAGGAATGGATAGATATCAGTCTCTGTACAGTCCCCTCGTATGTATCCGTGCGTCCCACCAATCATCTGGGAGGATATGGCACGTCTTTCTCAAGCTGTCCGGGAGCTGGAAGAACGTTTGAACACCGGAGGCTGCCGCCGGGTTCAGTGCGGACCCGAGCAGCGCGGTTGCGAGAGGGGCGCTGGTTTGGGTGATCGTCGTGAGCATTCTGGCAGTCGCTTCGAGGGAGTCATCTCCAAGTCTTTGAAAGCACACGAGCTGAAAGGGCTGTTCGCGTGCTAAAGGACTTGGACGGAGGGAGATCACTTCACCTCGCAGCTCGACGCAGAACTTTCCGGTCGATTTATGCGAGCTCTCTTAGTTTGCGCATGCGAGCCCGTTTTGAAGGTGAGAAGGCGTTGCAGCTGGTCAAGCAGGCCTTTCTCAGGCAGATATCTCGACACAGGGAAGGCAGTTTGGGAGATCTAGGCGCGCGTGGCCAGCTATCTGACCTACCATTCCTTGCGTTGCATTTTTCGCATCCAAACTGAGGTTTCTCGAGAGAAACTCAGACGGTTTCTGACGCAGCTCACCGCATCCTGTCTGTGATCGGCCAGAATCGTGCCGTCGTCCACCGACATTACGGCGCTGAGGTCGAAGTCGCTCTGGCATTCGAGTTGTCCGCCTTCTTGAGGACAAGCAAACTAGCGTGGCAGTAGTTTGGTCTTGTAGTGAGGCAACACAGATGGAAGCCCTGCAGAAAACAGTTGTCTAGAGGGAAAAACTACTGGCGCTATGAAGAGGCCGCACCTTCAGGGTTCTGCACGCGAAAACTGGGGAAAAAAAACTACGAGGGTGGCTGCTGCACCGGCAGCTTTTGTTGCAGACGCCTACTTTGCGGACATGGAAGCTTTTGCAGCTCGCTGCATTCATGTTTGATGCCTACTCCCTTGCCAGACCTATGACATATGGAGAGCCTGTGCTAGGAGTCTTGGGAAGAAGGGGATTGCAATTGCCCTAGACAGTTCATTCTCACCTCGAGTGGCGAACTTTTGTCCTGCCGCAGTAGGATTCTAGATAGCGTTCCAAGAAGCTTGCTTAGATGAGCACCATGACGTGAACCTACAACGGAGAAAAAATAGCTACAAGCTAGACACAATGGAGCCCATGCTGACCTTTCAATGCAAATACGTTGACAGCGCCTGGTACTGCACGCGAAGTAGCGTTTTGTTGGCAGTTGACTTCTGCCATGCATGGCAGCTCCCTGCAACAATTTTGAGACTTGAAAGAAAGTGTCCCTATCCTGCTGTGGAGAGCTGCACACGAGCAGGCAATCCCCTCACCCTGTCCCTCTCACTATGCCACGACCCCTTTCCAAGACAGCAGCTTCCTTCTCCAGGGAACTCCTAGACAGAACCATCAGCGATCCCGACAAAATTCAAGCCTAGCTGTTGTTGTCCACTAGCTTTCATGTTGTTTTTCTGATTGAGCTTTCTGCATGTCATGTCCAGGAAGCTTGGCTTCAACCATCTTGCAAGGGCTGGCATAAAGTTGTCTGAAGAACCCTGGTCCTTCAGATCGTGAGCGTCTGCGCGACTTTGTGCAAACCGATCAATGACAAGCTTTGTCTCCAACAATCCCTCGCCTCCAAGTGACATACAACAAGCGCAACAGCAATATGTGCGACTGGCACACAAAAATTGCATGAGTTCTTGCCGTCTACACCTGGTTCAGCACAATGCAAGCAGCTCGCCTGCTGCCAACTCGGGCACAGCTGTGGCTGTAGTCGCTAGCTCTGGGCTGGACTTGACCTCGCCCAATGACTCTTCACTGCCAACCTGGGTCGCTTCCAACATCGCGTCAACATCTTGGGCACTTCTTTCAACTCTGCATACCATATAGTCAAGAATGTCACCTGAGTAGAGGAAAGGGCGCATGGCAGCGAATGCACACCCCTGACCGGCATGCCGAGTGCAGCGAGCCAGTGGTATATTCCAAGTCAAACGCTTTAACGCAAGGAGAGCCTGCTTGGGGGCCTTAATCCGCCATCATCCGCCATCTGCGGATCCCTGCTGATCCGTAGTCAGGCAGAGTGAGCCCTGCTACTGGTACAGAAATTTGCCCCCACCGATGTAGCATCCCTGGAAGCGCATGCTTCTGCTCGCTATTCAGGTCTGTGCAGTGGGTGGTGGTGTTGGCTGTGCCCGGTCTTTCCTTGAGAAGGTCACCAGAGTGAGACCACGCTGGCTCTGGTCCTACTGCCTTGCGCATTCGAGCTTTGCAGGATCTAAAGTACTTGTCCACAGCCTCCTGGCCAAGTCTGCTTGGTCGGCCCTTCAGAGCTTGGTGTAATGCATGATGCATGTTGTGGAAGCTTGTATCTCCAAGGCCATGGATCTGTTTGAGCTGACGCTTGAACGCAAGAGCATCAAGTTCGCCTTGGCCCTGCCGGAAAGCGTTCATAGGCTCCTTCAGGAACAGCCTGTTGCCCTTCCTCCTACCCCCTCCCTGGCGCAGCCCGTCCTGTTACTTCATTTCGGGCTTGAGATTTGGTGCACCCGTCCTGTTACTTCATTTCGGGCTTGAGATTTGGTGCATCTCAAGTATAGCAAATCTTCAAGGAAACTGTGCTTGCATTTCCCACCTAAGACCGCACATGAACTGAAAATCGTTACGACTTTGGTTTCCTGCAAAACCCCACATGTCCCCTGCCCATATGCCGTAGCCGCCTCTAAAGGGAGCCCTGCACCCCTATACGCCCCTTTAGAGGGACTTCCTTACCCATACCTTCTAGGCACCGTTCCCCACCCCTTATGCACCCCTCCATCAGGACCCTAGTCTCTAGATATCCCTTGCCCCATGCTCCTCCCAAGTCCCCCCCCAGCCGCGGGTCGGCCTGCCAAGGCGGACAGCCCGAAGCGATTACAATTAGGTCACCCTGCACGCAGCCTAATCGCGATTGGGGTATTTGAAGGCAAAGCTTTGGCACTGCAAGTGTTTGACTTGGCTTCTGGCTTCGCTACCCTCATCCTCTTCTTCTTCCTCTGCTTCAGCTGCAGCTGCAGCTGCGCGGAGGTTTGCGGCCTGAGAACCGCAGAACACCAGCTCTCCGTCTCACTTTCTCGTGTGCATCTTTACACTCGAAGTGCAATCAGGGTTCTATCGCAGCGGCATCGAATCCGCCATCACCCATAGAGGCTCTGTAGATGGCTGCCACAGCCTTCTGAGGCTATTCAATTGCTGCAGTTCACGCTTCCCGCGGTCCTGCCTGGTCCGTGATTGCTGGTATGTGCGACAGATTGAGACGTCGTAGGGAGTGCGCATGAGGTACAACCTGTGCTGGCCGCGTCATGTGCCATCATGATGCAATGATCGAATTCCCGGCCAACCTCTAGGAAGGGCGTCACAGAAAGGATCTTGCAACCTGAAAGACTTGGATGTCACAACAGCAAAACTCGACCAGCAATCCAAGTCAGAAGACTACACGACGTAAACCGTCCCCGCCTGAGAGGTCCAGGCGCTGCAACCGCTGACAACTAAGCAATATGCGGCGGACGTGGTCATCCTTACAGCCAGGACATGCCAGGACACTCGTCGTGGCGAAAACAGTACGTTGAGGCTATCACCCGCAGCATCGGGCAGGATGCAAGGCTCAGATCCTCTGAGTAGCCAGAGTAAGCAGAAATCAACACATCAAATTCAACACATAACAGCAACAAATGGGGCCTCCAAATACTCACACTGCTTCGCAATGGCGAAGGGCAATTGTCTGCTCAGCTGGGGGCCTACAGGCGCATCAAGTCATCAACCCAACAACTAAGCCAATGAGAACTGCCGAGCACCATGCAATTGGTCAAGTCGAGGACGCGCAGTCTCTTCAAGTTAACCATTGCCTTCCGCAGCACAAAAAATGACATGCTTCGTAGCTTCTCATAACCCGACGTTTGGATCTTGCGGCTTCAGAACTGCCCAAGCGCGTTGGCACTCACAGGGTTGCAGCGTTGGGCATGGCAAGCCTGGGAAGTCATGTCGTCAGAGAGCTGATCCGGGTTGAGCGCAAGAAGCAGGTGCCCAAGACCTGGAGCAACTGCTGCAGCAGAGCAACACCTCAAAAAAAGGCATCATGTCGTTGCAGAAGGCTGTCTGCCTGGGTTTGCTTGCGTAATGGCCAGCAGGCCTCAAACAGGATGATATGGCCCACCAAGACACCAAGAGAGCACCTCATGAGAACCCAAGCCTGCGTCACCAAGCCGGGGACAACACTCGAGCGCCAGACTTCTCAGCCCTCAGTGCTAAAAAAGCACGGCCATGGAAAGTGGACAGTGAATGGCCGGAAGCAAGGACATTGTGACGGACTGAAAAGACGGCGCAGGTGCAAAGAGAGGCCTAAGCGGCAAAGTTTCTGAGCGCGGCTTTGATCGCAGCCACTTGCATGCAGCAGCTATGGCCAAATCACTTTCGAAAAAACGCAAAATGGGCCATGGATCAATGAGCACAAGATATCGGTGCTACTGTTTGGTGACATGAGCGGGCTTCACGGTAAAATTGGTAAACAAAAAAATCATCTTGTCAGGTCATTATCTCAAGGATGTCAGGTGACCAAATAAGATTGTCCAAGCTACCAAACGGGCACGCAAAAACCACCAAAGCCTCGGCCCCGAAAGTTGGTAAAATAATCTGCGAGACACCTTAATACTATCCATGAAGGCAATAATCTTACATGGACATTGGGGCCCAGGTACTTAGTAAGTCCCGCAGCCCAAAATCCCAAACTAGCCTACTTACTTGTTCAGTCCCTGACCCTCCAAGTTTGGCAGCCTGGTGGGCGAAGCCGGGGAACGCGGAATCAACAGTCTCAACCCCCTCCCTCCTGATAATAAAGCCCCCCACCCCCTGATAATCAATATAATATTCCTTATAGCACAAATTCTATAATGGGTGCATGTTCAATATTAGGGGTGAGGCGTTTCAATAATTTGCGTGGTCACTAATCTACAAACATGCTGCACGATTTGCGATGACCGAAGGTGAAACTCCCCCCTTCAAGCCCCCTTCAAGCCAAGCCTCCCTTCAAGCTTAGGTTGGGTTGGGGTGCAGCATCCAACACAATGCAGCTAAAAGCATTATAAGGTTCGCGTTAAGGGATTGTGTACGGATACGGTGGATGGAAGAAATCTTGCACCACCCTGTATACCCCATACACTAGAAATTACAGTATGGTGCAAGAGTTCCTCCATCCACTGTGATAGAACCCTAGAAAGACTAGGTTAGGTTAGGTTAGGTTAGGTTAAGTTAGGTTACCAACCCCCCGCTCCTGCGCGAGGGGCCTTATTTTTTAAGCCAGCGCGCATTAAAAGAAACCCTAAACCCCTAGAACCCGCCCTAAACCCAACAACTGGCCCAAAAGGTCCCCCACTCCCAAACTCCTCTTCAAATCCTCCGTCCAGCCCCCCTTTACTGAAATCTAGAGATTTGGTTAGGTTGGGTTAGGTTAGGTTGGGGCGGCCCCCCCCGACCCCCCGGCTAACTTTAAACCGGGCTGGTGGCTTTCAAACCTTTCTGGGTCCCAATTCTAAACTCCAAAACCCGAAACCCCAAAAAGACTGAACTTCAAAAAACTAAACCCTACACCCCTAGAACTTCACACCCTGAAAACTAATTAGGCCCTAAACCTTTCGAAAAGGTCCCCCACTTTTCAAGGTCCTCTTCAAAACTCCTTCTGTCATCCCCCCTTTCAATCCTGTTTACAACTGTGTAATTCTGAACCCCAAACACTAGCTGTTATGTTGGGGCTGCGCCCGCCAAGAACACAATGCCCTCATGGCTACTGAAGCCAATGCCAGTGCCGCTCCTCTACTGTTTCGTGGTTTCCTGTATCTCGCCTGGGGGTGATTTCTGTCGAGGTTTTTTCGATGACATATTCAATGAAGTATTCTGCGAAGTATTCGCTGAAAAACTTGCACAATTTGAGAGAGAGGTCCCAACTGCAAACCCCAAAAAGCTTCAACCCTGAACGCCAAAAACCAAAATTTAGGAGGGAAAAAAGTAAACCCTAAACCCCTGCTTACATTGTGCAGAACATGCAGACACACCCGGTTCATGAGCGAAGCCCATATTGCATTGGTTTTTCACTTCGTCTCGAGGCGCCTGGTCTCGGGCAGCCGGGTACCCCGGCACAGCTCGGGCTGTCCAAAAAAAATACATCCCCTATACAGGCCTACAGGTGCAAACACTCACCATTCCCATGATTGCATCCGAAGAGGTAGAAAGGGAGCCATCCCGAACACTTCACCGAAACAAATTTCGAGGGAGAATACGGCAGAAGAGGAGAATCTTTGAGAGAGACAAAAAAAAAAGGAAAAGGGAGGGTGGGAGAAAAGAAACTCCAGGAAACACCTGGGGTGTCTCCAGTACACTGGTCCTAGCAATTTTGACTGTAAACCAAAATTGCAGCGGAAAAACAAGGTTAGCTAGTGTTGCATGTGTAACTGTGTAACAATAATTGCTGTGCACCAAGCCTGCCCAAAGCACTACACAGGACAACATTGTGTGCAACATGCAGACACAATCGGTTCATGAGCGAAACCCATAGTGCATTGGTTTTTCGCCTCGTCTCGAGGCGCGTGGTCTCAGGCAGCCGGGTACCCCGGCACAGCTCAGGCTGTCCAAGGGAAACTACATCCCGACGCACCACACTCCCAATGCACTAAGACGGAGAAGCGAATCAACTAAGGAGTTGGAAAATGCGGGCGCGGATGCTGAGATTGAAGTTCCAGAGGAACACAGGCACGGTGCTGACATGCGCGTGGAACCGTTTGGCAGCAAACCAAGGGTCGTCCAACCCTTTACGACTGATGGCATCGCTCCAGTTACTCTTGGATGGAATCCGTTCAAACCACAGGGAGCATTGCAAGCAAAACAGGAGCAAATGGATGGACTGAGCAATGACGTCCATTTCAGGGCTGTCGGTTGACCAGGGCCATCAGAGCTGCAATCTTATCAATGAAATACACTCTTGTTGTGCTGCGGAAGGCTGCTGGGAATGTAATGAGGGACTGAAAGACCATCAGAAGCTCCAGCTGCGCAATCTTGGTGTCCTGATTGTCCCATAAATCGAACACGGAATCATCGATGACCACCACTGACCCCAGTCGCTGCCTGCGGGGCGTGAGCAGGATAAACGCTCCGGAACCAACACGGACACCGCCCTGGGCTGCATCGCTTGCAACCAGAACCGCGACCAAGCGCTCAGGGCGTAGCTGGAGTATGGTTAACGAGGTGTCGAAGGCACGCTGGAGCTCGTCAGAGATAGAAACATCACCAGTGGTACACTGACGGTCCTTAATAGCGTTCAGGCCGGACCTAGCAACGCGTCCGAAAGCACCCTGATCCAGAAAGGTAAGGCAACCAAAAAGCTTGGAAGGCTGCTCGGGGCGGAAGGAGCCAGTGGTCCGCGCAGCGCTCATGATGTCGTGGATTTTGTCCACCAAGCATTGCCGCACCCAAACCTTAATAAGGGCCGTGGACCAGATACCAGGTACCAGAAAGGTCATGAAGCAAACCTAGGAAGTCACCGGAGGGTGGAGGCCGGCTGGCGCTTTTTCGGTGGCAAATGGGAACCCACAAAGGTCGAAAACTTGACCAACAATGTCCTGCGACCGACTGGACAGCTCGGACCAATCCTGCTGCGTCAGGTCCTCCAAGCACAGGCTCGCCATGATGAAAAGTAAGCACCGAACAATGGATTGCATGAGCATGGGCAACCGATTGAACGCCGAAACCGCGAGATAAAGATCAAATAACATTCCACGACACCGGCCGAACCTGGGGTAACCACGCTGGGGATTGAAAAAAGCAACGACGCCCATGAATGGTCAGGGTGCATGAATCTTGCGGTAGGCATGAGGGAGGTCCTCGCATCATCAACGCAACGCTTCTTGCCGGTAGACTACATGATCACAAAGTGGCGGATGAGACGGAAGGGACGTCCTTGCCCAAGCAACTCGCCCCATCCTTGGCTAAGATGACAAAGGCCTAGCTCTTCATTCGATTCATCCTTGTCCCCCGACTCAAGGGCAACCTGGGAGTCAACATTTTCACGGAGCTTCGGCAAACCTTTGGCCTTCACTCATCCTGTAAAGCATCGGCTAGCATGATGAGCACCGCAAGAAGGGCGACGCGCACGCAAGGATTGACGGCTGCCACATCTGGGCGTTGCACAGCCCGGGCCACCTCGGTTCCGGCTGCAGCCTGCGTGAAAGCTCCTGAAACCAGCATAGCGAGCCCCGCGCGCTGGACAGGGAATGGATCGATTATCATTAACAGGGGTCCCATGGTGCTGGACAAACAGGGAATGAGCAAAGCGCTCATCAAGACTGCCTCCAAAAGGGACGACTGGGGGGAGGCGCCGTACGTTTGCTAACGGCAGTTGGATGCTCGGCTGCTCCTGCACATTCCTGCACGCTGAGCCGCTGAGGCATGAGGCAGGCTGTATCCTGAGCAGTGGGATCTAAAGCGCCAGCGCTGGAGTGATTGCCTTCAAGCCATAGAGGAAAGGCAGAGACAATCAATCATTATTGATCAGGTCCTCCAAATGGGGCCAGCGCACGGGCTGAGCGGAGGGCCCAAAGCCGACAGAGTGGGCGGCAGAGACCATGGTGGTTTGGGCAACACCAGCAAGAATTTGCAGGCCAGCGGCTGCTGCAAATAAAACACGACGGGCTCGACTGCCCTGACTGCTGGTAGCGCGCGAAGTGCTGCGGGAACGCTGCTGCATGCAGAAGGCTCCCACCAAGACGTTTCATGGCAGAGCTCATTGGGTTGGCAATCGCAGGCCAAGCGCTTGCCTCGAAGTTCATGCATTCGATCTGCTAAAGCAGACGTGGGCAACCAGTGGAGGAAGCGGAAGGCAACGTGAGCGCCCCGGGCTGCCTGCGGGAAAATGGGAAAAGTGGCTGCGCCCAACATCGGCAGAAAGAGGTTTGCCAGGGACAAACACGTCCCCCAAAGCAACGCGAACGGCGAACGGGCGCTCCTTAACAGACGGCAGTCTGGCCACGCAACTCCTTGCATCGGCATGAAAGGTCGAGCTGGGCACCTCTAGCAGCGATCGCCAGTCGCCGGAGACTTGGACCGGCGGGAGACGCAACAGCTACCGAGGTATAGCACAGACTGGCAGAGTACTCAGCTTCCTTGCGATGGGGAAGAATGTACGCTTGCCGTCACGGACGGGGCCCCACTCCTACGCAATGCAAGTGGACACACTGGTAGAAGGGAAGCTGGCGGAGGTGCTTGAGATTATGCCTGATGAGCTGGAACTTCTTCCTGGGGGCCAGGAAGACACAGGAATAGTCACCTGACTGTAGCAGGAACTCTTCAACAGGTCCTCCCAATGAAGGGAGTTGCCAGGGTTCTCGATGAATGCACCCCTGTCATGCTCTGCAAGCACATGCTGCACTGCTATCAGGAAGTCGGAACACTCATTGTCAGCATCAACACGTGTGGCTTCCGGGCGAGGTCCGCGGCCACCTGAGAGCCTGATTTCGCAGATGCGTGACTTAGTAGAACTATCGATGGCAACTGAAACAAGGTGGCATTCAGGCAGGACCTTACCTATGGCTTACTGAACCTGAGGGCTGGTAACGTCAAAAGCTGAATCAATCAGGAAATCAATAGGTTGCAAAACTCTCCAAGCTTTGGAGCGAAAGGCATGACTCAGAGGACACTCTGGTCGCCGTCGGCGTAGACTGCCAGCGCGAGGAATTGATGATGCAAACTTCCGGAAAGACCTCCTGTGTCTGTTGCATGACAGTAGCTCACGATACTGCGTTGTTGGTCCGTGATTCTTGGGTTTAAAAAAATGCGACCAGACCTGACCCAAGTAGAACACCCAATGCACAAACATCGTGGACTCCAGCACTCGCTCTCTAGGGAATGTGGACTGAACGCCTATATCTGCAATTGCCATCATAAAGGACATGCACCGAACTTCGAACTCCGGAGGAAGGGGAACATTTGAAGATCGGCAAACCGCAATCAGTTGCTTCATATTGTCGCGGACCAAGGCCTCATCTACAGCGGGATATTGGAGAGGTTCGTCCCAGCTTTTCAACTGGACCCCCTCGCACCTCCCGCTATTCCTTCCACATACACAGATGCGAGCACAAGTATCTTCGAACGGAACATCACTTCTGCTAGGCGGCAGAGGGAGGTCCACTACACTTCGGACGCAGAACCAACTGATTCTGCACCAACAGCTCGCTTTGACACTTGCGCAACAGACCGACCGGGCTTCTCCAGATGTCAAGGAATTTTCACAGACGCAGAACCAGTTGATTCTGCACCAACCGCACGCATGGCATCCTTCATGGTTGACGCAGCAGGCTTGACAGAAGAAGGGTCGGTGGCCATCACAGATGCAGAACTCCTCCACAGGACCACGTGGTGTATCACTTCGAACCTTGGAAGAACAGATCAGCCGAGCCGTAAGTGGCTGAGCCTCAAGCGGTGTCATCGAACTAGTTGTTGGTGGCGCCTTCGACTTCACAATATAACGAACAACTGTCCAGGATGGCAGAGCACGCTCAGCTGGAGACGGGGAATAAGCCTGTATCCCTTCAAGTAACGCCCATTGGGGGACATACTGCGGGCGTCCTTTCGGTCTCGCCCCGAAGTTTGTTGCCAACACGCTTGTAGCTGAGAGCCTTGTTGCTTCCCTACGTTCTCCAACAAAAGCATTCGGCATGGGGATGTCACGCGCAGCCCTGGATTCGTCAACATCTCCAGATTGCGATGGCGGCAAGCGGTCCCACATGACTACCTCTTAGTCGTAAAGACCACCTTGAACAATGGCAGGGACTAGCCTCCCAGTCAGGCGCATGGGTTCTGAGGTGGGGCCCCGCAAGTCGCTCAATAGGCCTCAGAGCTGCGTGGAGGCTTCAGTTGCCCAACAGAGACGCCTGTTGAATTGGAAGCCAGTTGGCTCATTTCAGCTTTGTACGCGTTTTGCCAGGTGTAGGTTCACATTTCCACTCCTGTACCCTTGCGCCACCTTTAGGGATTACTCATCTACCTTTCTCAGCATGCACCGAAGTGTAAGACAGAGTGCGGTAGGACTAGTGGGCAAACCAAGGTGACAGTCCACGTCTTTTTGGCCCCACCCAGAACAAGCTGGCGGCAATCACGGTTTCTGTATCTGGGGCGCATAACGCCCTTGGCAATTCCCTCGCGGGAAAAGCGCCGTTGGCAACAAGGCCATGCACAGATAAGGATTGTATCGAGTGGTTTCCCGTCTCGAAGATCTCATTGCGGGGAGCCTGCTGGTACAGATAGAACAACGTCCTATATAACAAACCTGGCAATATAACATGACATGTGACATGAATTGCATCAACATATCCTGAAAATGAACATGACATGAAACTGTCCAACATGTACTAACTGGTGCAACATGTTTCTCATTGAAATCACTCTTTGTCCTGGACGATCTGCTCATTGGAAAAAAGGCTGACACTAGCACTTCAAATCGGCTACCGAGCTGTACACGCAGGATACGCAGGTACGTGATCCCAGCGTCCCAGGATCATATCACAGTCAACAGACACGGCTTCGTTGGCCTGAGTCCTGTCTGTGAGCCTCAGGCCCCCTGCATATTATGAAAAGCATGTACAAGAAACAGAAGAAGTCTTCTGCGTCGTCATGTCTGATCTTGCAACATCCAGAGACCGTTAGCTTAGAATCAGGGTGTACACACACATGATTGTTTGCCTTCCCCCGCAGATGATCGCAAATGCTGGCACTTTCGGGCCAAATCGAAATGCAACGCATCAGGAAGCCGGCTTCAGACGCAGCTTCAGATCGCAAGGCACCCAAGTACTGCAGCAAGAGCACCAATCAAATGGAGGACGGAAACATGCTGCATAGCTGAAACATGCGGCAAGACTCGGCAACACGCAGCAACGTGCGGCAACATGCCGCAACACGCGGAATGACATGAGGCAACATGCGGCACGCAACTCGTCCAGCTGAAGGAGACAATTGCCGCACGATAGAGATGGCAGCAATGCCCCTGAAACAAGAGGCAGTTCAGCAGCAGGATATACCGGCCGACCCCGCAAGGTCATGCCAGGATGCAGCCGGAGTTGTTCACGATGTTGTGTGCACAAAACATGGAAACCATTAACTTTGTGCGCACTTGCAGTTGGAACCGTCAGTTTGACGATCCTTCCCTTGTCCTCGCAGGTCTGCAGCCATCCACTGAGAGCGCAGAAGCGTGTTCATCTCAAATGTCCAGCAGAACAGGCAGCTTAATTCATCCTTCGGAGACAATAACCCTTCCGGCCGCGAGCTTCTGAGGAGGTCTTCCCCGGGTCTTCCACAAAAAGACTCTTGCTCCCCAATTTTCGCAACTTCCTTCCTCGGACCCTTCCGCAGATCGTCTGGTCCAAGGCACCTCCACACAAGAGAGATTGTCAAAGTGTAGTCTTTGCCATGACGCTGGATTCACTGAAATAAGCTTGGACAAGAGCCCGGGCGAGCAAAGAGTTCTTTCGAAAGCACAGTGTCAACCACTTTCAGGAGAAGCTTGCCGGCAGGATCGAAAGTGTTACTTCCGTCCACACCCGTTCTGTTTTGCTCATTCCAGCTCTAGGAACAGTCGAAGACCCTCCGACGGTTGCCTGAAGAGACCAGATCCGGGCTTGCAGCTGAGACTCTCATGCACCCCGCAGCCATTTGGATCAACGCCTTTCCAATGTACAGGTATGCTCTTTCATGAGGCATGTCACAAGCGCAGCACCTGGTCGCTGGTTCCCGTGGAATAGGAAAGGTCGACCACCTGCGAAGCTGCAAAGAGACATCTCAGGCGATACTCGCTAATGAAGGGATATGAAGTCTTGCCTCGAGGCGTCGAAGTTGGCGGAGAGAGCTGTCACTCACAGACTTGTGATTCCATAAGGCCATAGAATCCATAGACTGATGACGCAACACCCCGCCCTGTCTCTGTCTCACAGCCCCAGCCCTGTGGAACGAATCCCCAGAAGCTTGTACAATGTCCAAGATGCTCTAGCCGACTCTAGCCTCATACACCTGTCAATCCTGATGTTAGAATGAACAACCAGGCACATGCTATCAATCAGAGCAGTATGTGTCATCCTTACCCGGGAAACAGCTCTGAACCTGCAGCATCCAAGGGTTACGCCCATGCAAAGATCCCAAGCTGCAAGAAGCCAGACGCGATAAAGCAGAGGCTCAAACATGCTGGGCAGGCCTGACAAACTCCTCTGTGACCCCAGGGCAGTGCGAAGCCCTTTCAAGCAAGTAGCGCAAATTGGCTTGAAAGATGAACTGCCTTTCTTCCTTGTGTGTGCCTGAGCTCTCGCAAATCCAAAAGCTGCGCTACACACGAAATGTCGGTGAGCATGCAGCAGCTGACGTCCAACTGCTCCAGCTTACCACAGCCTGCAACAGGCCGCGTATACAAGCCTCAACGCAGGTGAGCAATCAAACAAACCCAGCATAGAAATCTGCTTCTCAAAAGCCTATGGAGCGAGCAATTCCAGTATCCCTCTTTGACTTCTGGTAAGGGCCTCCCTTCTAGCAGAGTTTACCTTACAGTTTGCTCATGGCTTGTTTTCTGTCACCAAGGAACATCAGTGGACCATCAGTTGCCTCCAATAATGCTCGCCACGGAGGCATCATCTGCTCGCGTGCCACGGAGGCTGAGCCTCGTGCGGCATGCACTAGGCATGCTGAGTGGCGTGCATCTTGCCGTGAGGACAGTTTCAATTGCATTTCACGGCTTCCATGCTGATACCCTAAGCCACTGCGGTGCTTCCCCCACCAAAATCCAAAACGTTGGATCGCTTGGGGCCTTGCTGCTGGTACTGGTAGCCAGCTCTTCTTCTACTTGCAGACTGCACAAAGAGTCAAGGTTGTTCTTGCTTCCTGCTGTTGTCACTTGCCGGCAACGTCATGCTCGGCAGCATAGCTTTCTGATGAAAGTATGGATCAATGCACACGGCGAGCGCATATTTCCAAAGGCTGGAACCTGTCACAGATCAACGCTCGTCTGCCGCAAGACATTTGCATCTCGGTGCGACTTTCCAACCAGTGCAGATTCCTCACACTTCTGGAGGTCCCCAAGTCAACTGTTGGGGCGGACCCAGAAAGCGATTTACGGCATATGTCAGGACAGTTTTTCTATCTGGCACTAGAGAACGCATGACACGTGCCAGGCCAGGGGCTCACGTAGCTCCTTCAAGTTGCCTACCTGGCGCTATGAGCAATTGCTGCTTTCCATTCCAGGGGAAGCAATCTTGCTGGAAGCACCATCCGCAAGAGAGATGCTGTTGAAAGCCATGGCAAATCAGACAGCCGCATTCGCCTGGCACGAAGTTTCTGAATCGTTAACATCCAAAGGCTTCATAAATTCAATGCTCATACTATCCAGCTTCTCACGCAAAACCAAGCTGTCTGTGCTGAAGACTGTCCGCAACGATGTCATGATGATCCTGTTGGCTGAGCACCTGCAAGTGCAAATGCCATCAAACCAGGCAGCTGCAGGTAGTTTTGTACATGCCTCTAGAAGTTTGGCATCGCTGACGAGAGCTGCCTGCAACTCACCATAAGCATCAGGCACTGAATGCAAGCCAGCGCTCACTGCAGGCTTCGCCTAAAATCTTAGCAGCATTCTGGAGTTCATCATCATCATCTTCTTCTTCTTCTTCTTCTTCTTCTTCGTTCGCCATCGTTTTCGTCACCATCATCACCATCCTCATACCCCTCATCGTCATTGCTATCGACCTCGCCTTCTGATTCAGCAGATTACATAGGTATGCCACACGTTTGCTCCAGCCACGCACTCTCGGGCCTCCTGAAAAACGCCCTGGTCTTGCATGGAAGAGCCGCTGATGTCTTGTATCCTTGCGAAGAATTGAACTCAAAAGAGAGATCAAGATGACTTAGCAATTCTTGTACTGTGTCATGCAAGAATGAGCGAAACTGTCTGCATCAAAGAGTTTCAACAGCCGGGCGCCTTGGAAGAGGCAGTAGTCGGCACACCTTTTCCACGCTCTGGTCAAGGGCCAAATCTCGCCGAGTGCCTGCTGATCTTGGGCGTAACTCCTCGCAAGTTGCAGCATATACTTCTCTTTAGCTGATCTTGGCACAGCCTTGGATTTTTCAGCATGCCCTGCTGCTGCTCGGCCTGCCACACAAGCCACATGTTACTGTACAAGCACAAACATAAGACACTGCAATCCTCGTGGCACCGGAATGCTTGAGTTTGACAAATGCAATAGCAATAGCAGCTCTGATTACGAATCAGTGCATGGATTAATTCCGCAGTTTTCCAGAACCGCACGGTCTACATGTTCTCAAGCCGCACGTCCGCCCATTTTGCATGTTCCCTTTGCTGCCCTGTAACCAAAGCATGAGGACAAAGGTTTGCGCAGCTACTGGTAATGGTACCTTACTGATTTTCGCACCCCAATCACACGCTCCACTGTAGTGCTCGAACTGAGTTGGGAGGTTCTTCGAACAAGAATCCAGGGCTAGCAGTTGGTCTCCGGAACACCCTTTGCTACTCGCGCTTGTCTGGAAGGCATTGCGGTGTGCCCTTCTGAACAATGCGGCTTTCAGGACTCCTGGAGATTTTGTGAGTGAGTGACTGGCGGGTGGATGTGGATGGAGATGATGCCACACTCATGCCAGGCTTGCACGGCATTGCACGGCTCACGGACGTTTGGTCTTGTGTACTCGGTAAGTTACACGGTCAACAGCACGTAAGGGTGCGACAAGTGCATCAAATGGTGCCTTCTGGATATTGACGGACATTGGGAAGCACCTGCCACAACCACTAAACATACCCGTGTGAACGGACAATATGTCAAGAGCAACTTGAGGGCAACGTGCACATGAAAACAAGCAACGTGCAGAATGCCACGACTTCCGTCGGCTAGTTGCCCCAGTGACCAAACTAACAACAACAGCCAGAGGGACGGGCGAAAAAGTATTCCGGTGCCAATCTGATCTCAAGTAACTCCGCTGGAGATGCCATGGAACACCATCCTGGCGATGGCAAAACAAATCAGGTGCTTCGTCATGGTTGTCGTCACCTATCCTGGATCTCCATGTACAAGTGTGTTACAAGAGTGTTGCCATGCTTTAGACGGTAATTGCCACCCGAACCACCCGCACCACCACCCACACCACCACCCACCACCACAACCATCACCAAAACAACTGCCACCACCACCCACCACCACCCACCACCCCCCCGCCGCCAGCCGCTACCACCCACCACCGCTTACCACCACCACCGCCGATGCCGCTGCTGCTGCCGCCGCCACCGCCACCACCAACCCCCCCGCCCCGCGAGAGCCACAACCATGACGACGACCGTGGATAACGAAGGACCACAGGTCAGTAGGGCTGTTGCGAAAAGCTGAGGCCTGCGACAACCAATGACAAACATCTGCCAGGTCCGTTCAAGCACTGCTTTGGCACGGGTCAACAAAACGCCACGGCTTCTCAATCCATGCCACAAGGTGCCATGCTCCATCAGCTACAGGCTGCCCAGCAAACCGTCCCAGCACTTCGAATCAAGTATGCTTGCTGCCTAAGTGTTCCTGGTCACTGCACGTACCACAAGTTGCACTTGTGCAGTATCAGGCCCAGCATGGCTTGTTCAGCTCTTGATCTTGTTTCATGCGCGTGTCTTTTTTGAGCCGAGGGAAGGACCTGTGGCAAGGCTCAAAGCAGGCTTTCATTGCGCTGAGCAAAACAGCAGATGCACGCAAACAGCAAACCCTCGCTTTCAGTGCACCAACGCTTGTATCACTGCAGCATCAAGATATTAACGAACTGTCCAGGCGCCTACGCATCTCAGAGCATGCAAAGGGAATGAACCTCAAAAAGTAAGAGCCATCGGGGCAGACAGGCTCTCAGGAAGACATCAAGCTGAGGTCAGAGCTCAGCTGGTTCAGCTTAGCTTGGCAAAAGCCACTGTGGCAACGACCACAAGGAGAAGTTGCACGCCCAGCGCCACGAAAACGCCCACCATCCAATTCTGGCAGCAACTCGCACATGGGATTGGTAATTATTCTGCTACATGAGGCAAATTCTGCTGTAATCTGGCCCAGGCAACAGTGTAGGCAGCGCTTTCATATGCACTGATTTCAGTGGCTGGGTCCTGATAGCACGCGCGGTTGGTAAAGCTGAACCGCCCCAAAAGCCCATGATGAGTTTGGGGCTTGGGGTTAGTCAATCCGTCTGCAGGTGCTTCAGGTCTGAACAGTTCTCTGTCAATTTCTAGTACTGTCTCTTCTGTTTCACCCTGGTCACCCTTGCAGGTGGTCCTGCATCCAATAGAAGAAAATGGGGTGGTTGGCCCGAATGTTGTAAGCTGCCTGGACATCAAAGGCAGTAAATTCGAGGTTCTGAGCAGTCAGCGAGGAACCTCTGCTTGCTGAACTGCGAGACGGAAATAGGATCGCAAGTCATCTCTCATGAGCCGCAACCCAGAGTGCGCTGTTGGGTTGTTGAACTCACCTTGCCGTCAAACGAAGCAGCTGGACAGCTTGCATTGCGCCGGCCGCGGACAAGATTGAGTAAGACTATGACCGCAGTGAAAGTCTGCCACATGACCGGAGCAGCAATTTAGGCCTTCAGTCGCGCTAGCGAAGCTTTGCAAAGCAAGGGCAACTGAAATGCAAGACAACTCTGGCCTACAGCCCAGAAATCGTAGTTATCTTGCTCGCCAGAAGCGATCGGCGCCACACAGTATGTGTCCAAGTTCCTTGCAAGGACAAGCTACACAAAAAAAACATCCAAACCAACACTCCTTGCACTGAGTGGTGGCGCGCCTGAAACCCATGGAGTGGGCAATGTCAAGCTTGGCCTCTGGAATAAAATGAACTCGGCCAGCATCCATGAGCTGATTGCCTGCCACAAGGTGCTCCTGAAGGTCTCACATGAAACTTCAGGCCAGGCCTTTGCTTTCAGCTGGATTTATCATGTCATACTCATTCATGTTGTTCACGTCCATAAAAGGGACCAAGTTAGACCTACAACGGAACTGCGCCAATGAGAGCTTGCCGTTCCTGGAAATCCCTTGGCCTGTAGTTCATGTTTCCAAGGACCACCGCAAGTGCAAGGTTTGCAGCGCTGCAGAGGAACAGGAAGAAGTACCAGGTGGACTGGCCATCCTCTCCACTCCTGCCATCACAGTTAGAAGTTAGGTCTCGCAGAATACTTCCCAAAGCCGCACGTTCCTGCCTGAGATTTTGCAAGGCAGAGTAGGCAAGCCTGAAGATCACGTACCAATGCAGCAATGACTTGTCTTGTCAGTTTTGCGAGGCCGCTGCAGTAGGACCACCGCACCGGCTAATGCGATTCCGGCTGTCACCAGGCCAGGGCTGGTGTAGTGCAAGCTCAGGCTACACAGGCTGTAGACCTGGCGGTGAAGAAGGATATGTCAGAAAAAGATGGGGGCAGAGACTTAACCCAAGGCCAGCCAGGCTAGTGTGAAGATCAGCCAGGGCAGAACTAGACACCTGCGGCATACACTGCCTTCAGCAACTCCCCGAAACAGCTTCGCTGACAAAACGTGGCACTCAGTATCAGTTTGTTGTATGGTTGAGCTCTGCGTGCTTTTGAACAGAATGGCTTGCTTTTGCAAACTCTTTCAATCTTGTGGTGCTCCTTGTTCGTTCCATGTTGGCATATGCGCTCATACCATGTTTGTACAACCTGCTTCCTGAGGCCCGAGCAAAGCCAAAGCTGGTAGATTGATGCTTCTTCGCTGCGCCCTTCCGAACGGCGATTTAGCAACTCCTGCTGCGCTGCATTATGGGAATATGGAGGCATAATCGCACGAAGCTCAAACATAGCTTGAGTGGTGGACCATTCTTGGCATCGCCTTGAAAGGCATGTGCCCTTGGTGCTCAGCACTAAGCACATGAGACCATTGGCTTCTTCACTTCATCCTGAGGCATGAAACGCGCCGTAGTTGTAGGATGCATCGGACGGGTACCCAGAGTGCATGCTGACCTGCTGCAAGCAGGAAGTGGTTTTGCTCCCATATGCACTTCGCAGGATGAAGTGCTGCGTTTGCTTGGGGCACGAGATCTCAAAAAGCATTAGATGCAACTAGCAACGAGTTGCTGCCACTGGAGACAGCACTGCCTGTTCAATACGTTATGTTTAACACTCGTGCCTGGCATCTACATTTGCGCGACTGCAACATCTTGTAATCTGAGTCGCAGGCAGGGATCAATACCGGATCTTAGTTGTAAGGATGAGCAATCAGTCGACTGCTTCAGCCAACGGCAAGCAAAAGGCAAACACATTCAAACAAAAAACAGTTGCATTTATGCTTAATATCAACATAAGCCATCGCCAACTGCTACCATGAAGTCGTTATGAGATGCAGATACAAGAAGCAGCTGCCACTCCCGTGCACCGCAAGCAGTTGAAGACGTTTTTCAGCTCACGCTCAAATGCTCAAACAAGAAAAATGCAAATTGCTGCATCCAGCAGGCCTCATGAAATCTCATGCTGAGGATTTTGGCGATCTGTGAGAGCACACTGATTCGTGCTCACACTTGCAAATCACGACAGTTCTATGTGTGGAACAGATGAACAGCGAAGGTGCGATTTCTGGTCTCACCGCTTGAGCTGCACGCGTACGGCGCGACAAATCCATGGAAATCCAGCGCCACTGTCCTTTCACCCAAATATCGTCTGGATTCATGCCTGGCTCTTGCTGAGCCCTGGCCATTCGTCAGGGTGGTCTGAGCGCGACTTGCTACGGTTGACGTTGTCAATAAGGGGAGTGCATTGAAAAGCGCATTGAGCGGCTTGTGATTTGTGGAAGGTATCTTCGGGCACATCACCCTGCGGAAGAGCTCGATAGATCTGCTAAGAAATGAAGATGCATCGCGGATTGCTTCACAGATGATGCAAGGGCCGGATCGTGGAAGGCAAGAATGCCATCTGCCCAGGCCCTCGCAGCATCAGCAGTTGCAGAAATGTCCAACCGAGCGGACGCATCCGGCCATGGCATCTGCAACGTGGGGTGTGATTCTCTCGCCTGCCTGGTGAGAGACAGCAGGTGATCCAGTGCAGCTGCTGCAAGGCTGCCCAAACCCGCAACTTCTTCCTCCCTTTCCTGCGCCACCTCTTCCGTGCTGTGTTGGAACTTGAAAAGTGTCGGCCCAATAGCTTTGCTTGTACCTGTTGGCGCGGACAGCGTATCCGGCACGGCGTCAGCTTCAAGATCCGCGTCAGAGAGCATGCTGCCGCTGGAACAGGAACTTAGAGCTCTGCCATTCCCAGATCTCACAGGGCTCCGTCCACTGTTTCTGGCTCTGAGCCGCGCTACTTGTCTACCCAGCTCAGCAGCTCTCCTCTCCGCAGCCGTCCACTTATTACGCAAGGACTTTGTAAGTTGGCGACATTCACTCCTGACCTGTCCTACTTCCTCCTGGGCCTTCCTGGCTCGTGAATCTGCTATGGAAGCTTCACCTGCGACGGCCTCCACACGAGGCAAGAGAGTGTCATACAACAGCTCCAGTTTCTGAACTCTCTCTGACAGCAGAGACAGATCAGAATCAACAGCTGCCAACAGGATTCCGGTCTTCCCAAGGATCTCAGCAAGCCGCACCGCAGCTCCCAAAACATTTGATGCTAGTCGAGGCGGAGTTCCAGCAGTCTCCACTATCTCTGCGCAATGTTCAAGAAACGCATGGCAACATTCATCCAACAAGCCCTCCCATGGCTTTCCACGAGCCTGCCACTGGTTGAGGCGGGCTTGGACTTGCGCGATCGATGCTTGACCACAACGAGCAGCTTGGGCAAGCTCCGCGGCATGGTTGACTGCTTGCATCCACTGCTCCCAGCCGCTCAAGGCGCCGTCAGCCGAGGGTGGGGCCAAGAGCGATGTGCAAACCTGGCGCAGCTCCATCCAGGAATGCCAGCCTGACTTGCTACGATACACAAGTGATGACCCGTGATATACACAGAATTTACGGCGGTGGAATGCTTTCAGACTCTCTGGGCTGTTGGGAAGTTGCAGTCAAACTCACAAGGTTGCCTCACGCGAGCCTGCAATGAACCGATGCGCAAGGGGCAAATGGGCTGCATGCACGGACAAGGAGCGAGCCTGGAAAACTGATGACTTGCTTTTTGCGCTGTCGCATGTCCAGTCAGGTCCAAGGTTAATTCGGTAAGGGCCCTCTCTGACCTCGTTGTCCCTAGGCGCTATGGTGGCGCGGTCAGGCCTTGGAGGTCGTGGGACGTCGTACAACGTCGTACAACGTCGCAGGACGTCATAGGACGTCACAGCAGGAACCGATGGGCGTCTCACACACCGCTGACCTGGTGAGCTTCGCAGAAGGCTTAAGTCTGTCCGCCCGGAGTCCCCTAAAGGTACTCGCAAGCGCCTGGTTGAGTCTTGTCTCAAAAAGGTCGCATACGACTGCACAAGCTGTCAGAGAAAATACAGCCATGTATGCAACCCAAAACTATGTAAATGGAACCGCAGGCTGGTAGCTGAAGAGTCCGACAGCACTGCAATAGGTTCACAGTGGGAAACTAAGGAGCATGAGGCAGATCGCCCACAAATGCCATTGAGGTCAAGGCAACTCAGGAAGAAGAGCTTCTCCACAAAGGTAGACATTGTCCGGCGATCATCCCAAGCTTTGCTCCGGGCAGTTGTCCAAGACCTCCAACACCTGCCAGACTGCAGTCAATCAGTCATTCTGTGAGCTCATGTCATTTGAAGTGGGCATTGTGATAGTCGACAAAAGTATACAAAAGCCTTTTTGGCACGTGCCAATCTTCCCTTGCGCTTCTTTGCCTTGCAGCCATTGTAGCCATGAGTCTGCTGTGTCAAATTGAGAGCTATGCTTTTGGAGACCTGTACTCTTCGTTAACTTTAGCCCATTGGAGACGCGCGTGACTGCAAGGGTGTTTTTGGCAAGTCGAGGGAGCCGGCCTCTTCAAGTTCTGCTGGATCACCGGCACCCTGCATATACATGTGAAGCTTTTCTCAACCCGAAGTTAACAGCTCAGTGTAGTCCTCAGGTTCGTCGGCTTTATTCTGTGGCTGCATGTCCGCTTCGGGCACCTTCATGAAACAGTTATCTGAACTGTCTGCAAGCCCGATGCAGCTCGAAGCTAAGGGCTGCCTGAGGCTGGCGTGATTTCTTCCTTTTTCCGGCTGGCTGAGATTGCCCTGCGCCTGCCTCCGGTTTTGACGAAGGTCTAATAAATGCTGTTACTGTACCTGCCTTTCAAGATGGACTCCACATGCAGTCCCAGCGCTGAAACAGCTCAGACACTGCAAGTTAAGGAATGCAGGGACACGTACAGCCCTGCCTTGGGCAACTCCGCGCCTTGTAACGTCACAAGGGCACCTAGGGACATGTCGACCAGGCTTAAACAACCCACACGCCCAGGTGTAAGAAAGGGCTCAGAAGTGGACATGCTTCCGCCAAAGTACGTTCCCGCGCAGCTCCACTTAAGCCGCCAAGGTATCTCAGAGTGCTTGACACATCTCCAGCAACCGCCGGTTAGCTCAAACAATTCAGCTGCCTCAAAAGGATTTGAAAGACCTTCTTCGGGACAAGATCTGGTTGGTATGCGTGTCGCAGCAGCCAGGCCTGCCAGTTCACATCATAGGTTACAAACGCCTTACAGCTCTCTCTAGCTCGTTCTCGCCTGGGTAGCCTTGTTGAATCGCCAGGGCGTGCCTTCAGCCTCGCTCAGCCGCCGTGACTCATGTCCAACTTATGATCGCCCCGTTTGCCTGGTGTGCTTGCCATGTTGTCAGATATGTCGCTGCATCCTTGGTTGACATTGGCAAGTATACCCCTTGCAAGGCTCCTTCAATGCACAAGGCTCTAGCAAAATAAACGTAGTCTAGGCCTTTCACCTCTGGGTCCTTGGTTTTGGACTGCTCCCGCGCAAGTCTCCTTCGCTTTTGCCTTGCGCGCTTGGCGCGTGCCTGTTTACATGCTTTGTCAGGTTTGTCAGGTGCACGATGTGCTAGGACAACTCTCGCAAGCTTCAGCCACAGATTCCAGCTGAGGAGTTAAAAGCCTTGTCCAACTGTGACTTTACCTTGTTGGACTTGGCAGCGACGTCCTCCTGACAACTGCTTCGAATCTGCTCATGCTCGACAGCAGCGAGCAGGGCTCCAAGGCACAAAATGTCTTGAAAAACACTATCACTGACACAAGCAGCCTACACCTGCTTATACTGTGGCCCACACGTATGAAAAGTGGATGAAATTTCCATGTCTTCAGCTGGCCTTTTGCTTCTTTTGCTTTCTCTCCGGCTCGTTGGCATCCACCGCATCATCTGGATCCTTCAGTTGTCTCTTCGGGGCCTTGCAATCCATGAGTCAATGATCGCGCTCTGCACAAACTGAAGGTATAGTCATGTCAAGAAGCTCTCTTCTGTGCAGGAGGTGCTGCACTTGCCGCACCTTCTGCAAGCCCGCGCCATCTTGCTTGGATCAACCCTGGCATGCACCTTTGGCAGTTGATAGTGTAACTGGCAGCTCACAACATACGTGAAAACAAATGGCTGTATGTCCAGTGGGTCGGAAAAACATCCATCCTCCACATGCTACCGGGCAAACTTGATCTCTCGTCCACATGCTCTGAGTCAACTCTCGAGAGGTGCAAGCAAATCGGAAAGCGATTTCAAGCAAGCGATTTTCCGTACTGCTTCATTAACATCTGTTCTCCAAACGATTCTGGACTCAGCATTTCAGTGTCCACGCGAAACATGTAATCTACAACGGCTGCTAGAGCCCTCAGCGAAGTGGCTCCAGCAACGTTGGCGGGAGCCACTCCGCGTCCGACTCGTGCTGCCTGTGCCGTACGTTTACGATTCATTTGGCATGGATGCCCCAAGACCTGACAGCAAATTGCAATTATCAAAAACGATCTTTAAGGCGGCCAAGCTCCGAGCTGGACAGTTGGTGCCTCACACAGTCAACCCCCAAATGGAGATCATGGACGCCCAAAATCTCAGGCGCACTCACCAGTGCACCCTGATAACCAAGCTTGCCACAGCAGGAGGCATTCGCACCACTGAAGCCGACTGAGCCGCACCAGTCGCAGCTACCTCACGAATCTGAGCAGTTTGTTTGCACCTGGAGCTCCGCAGCCTGGCACTCTAGCACGCCTCAGGTTCTGTTACCAAGGCTGCCGCCGGTTCTTGGTAAGTCAGAGGCTGCACGGTTGGCGTCCAAGCTTGAGGCACTGTTACCGGCGCCTTATCAGCTGCCATGGACTTGACAGTATATCAGTATATCATTGTTGAGCATGCCTGCATCGGAACATTGTTCACTGACCGGCCACTTCCTAGCGTTCTTGCCAAACTCTTTGTAGATCTGTTCGGCGTCGTATTTGCGCGGCCTTGCCCTCGACCTTCTCCCTTCGATGCTTGGAATATGCTTTGCGCACTTTGCGTGATGATCGTGGTGGGAACCGGCACACTGCAGCTGAGGGTTGTCGCTTTTGGCTGTTGGGGACCTGAAGCTCATGAATCTATGTCAAAAGAACTCAAAGTCGCGCTCCCAGTGTTGACAGTCTCATGGATACGATTCAGTGCTCATGACGATCCTTGTTTTTGCACATGCCGATCCTCATCGCGATCCAGAAGCAGCCACAGTCAGAGGGACTCGGCGTCGCGTCTGGTGTTGTATCTCGTATGGTGCTTTCCCTTCATGGCCTCGGGTGACTCTCATCGCATGTTGCCTTCTTGCCGCTATGCCTTTGTCTCAGGTCTCGTGTGGTATCTTGTTGTCCTGCTATCTCTTCCTGGCGTGTCTCGCGTCGCATCCTATGTACCCTTGTGTTTGTGTCCGCATTCCGGTTCATGGCTATTAAGGTTGACGCTCTAAGGTTTGGTTTGTCACCAGACGCCAGCACTCGGGACAATAGCAACAACATCATTCTGCCTTTCTCCACACAAAGGGATCGGCATGCCCACCTACATGGATGCGTGTGTGTCGCAAGCAACAGCAGGCGGTGTAGCAATGTGTAACAATGAGCGTGTACATTAGGATTGGGCGTCGCTGAGTGAGTTCCAGACTGAGCTGACTGCACCAACTGCACCAGTTGCCATGTAGCGCGGGTAAATATTGGAATCCAAGCTTCCCACCTGGGTACACGCATGGTGAAGGAATGCAGTACTTCTCACGGTAAGCCATCTACAGGGAGCTCCGGCGCTGTATAGCCACTATCACTGATCACCTAAGCTGAGCAGCAAGAAGACATAGTACCCCAACAAGCTGCAGCTGCTAGCCTGGGTCGAGAGATCGTGCGTATGCGTGTCAATGGCGTCCCACAAACGTCTGTACTCTTTGGTTCGCTCCTCGATTTCCTGGTCCAAAACTGAATTGCATTGCCTTGCCAGAATCTCTCTGGCCTTCCGCACCAAGCTGTCGAATATGCTCATGGACTTCTGGAGAGAATCCACCTCAGCTGGTGGCGGAGATGCAACGAACGATTGTTCTTTTCGCATCGGGCCTTCTCATCCAAATGGGCTAGGTGCTTCGTCCTCTCGCCTTTCTCCTGTGCGAGCACCTCCTGTCGCTCTGGCACTGCAAAAAGGCTCGGCACAGCCCTGCGGCAAAAAACAGAGCCTCAATGGCCGTGCGGGCAGCTTTTTCCTTGTGCACTAAGTCGTGGAGCATGGCGTGCGCCCTTGGGAAAGGTCAGGATGGCAAACACCCTGCATCCCAGCACAGCATGATAAGTCAGCAGCTGCTCACGCTGTCCTCGCTCCTTCTGCAGAACTTCATCAACATCTCTGTGCCTCGCCTTTGCAGAAGAACAATGGCACATGCAAAATTGATTGCACCAGGCAAAGGCTGCAATTGCTGCTCCACCTCACTGGCAGCTCGTTCCCTTCCAAGGACCTCCTGATGATGTTGATGATGCTTCTCCTGAGATTTCTACTCACATCAGCTGTACCTCTTCCGGCCTATCTCGTCTGAGGGCATGTCTCTGGCATCTTTTTCGCGGCCGAGAAGGTCTTGCAGGTGTGCATGATGACGCTCTCTTGCTGCCTTCGGGAGCTTCGCTTTACTCTACGGATCGCAGAGCCCGTTAAGAGCTGCCTTCTCGCCCTGGAGCTGCTCATGAGCCTGTACAAGTGGCTGACATTTTTCAGGTTTGACTAGCTCAAAGTCCTTTAGATAGAACACCTAAAGGATGGCTTAAAAGGATTGGGCAAGATTAATGTTGCAGACTGTTGCAGAGCAGAGGGGCTGAGAAATCGGAGCAGGCCTGCTCCCGCAACTGCCTTTCCTCGTTCAGGCGAGAATGCAGTTGTTCCTTTCAGTTCCAGATCGCTTGCAAAGACCATGCACGGCACAGACGGTGTGAAACACAAAGCCATTGCCTGAAATTGCCTAGTTGCTTGCAGCTCCTTGCATCCATTAACTGAACACAAGTATTGGAGTCGTGGTGACGTGTGACGTGCTGGCTGTACACTCTGAAGCTGTCCTTCTTGTGGTGCTCAGCTGAATCCCCAACCTTTTTCTCCAGAAAATCCACTCCTAACGAGGATATTGCAAGGTGCTGAATTCCAACACATGAGCTCAGGCGCTTGCTTTCTCTCAAGGTGGCGTGATTGGAGGCATGAGCTGCCTGGCCGTAGTGCACATCGTGAAAACGTTGCACGCATCTGAACGTCAAGTCGTGCTGGCTTTCTGTGCTACAGTAGAGTAGCTTCTCAACCCTGTCATGCACGCCCCGTGCCTGATCGTTTGCCATCTTATCATGCGCCTTGCGAACGGCCTCCACATGGCTTCCGCGCGCCTGCAGGCAATTTCATGAAGAAATGTGCAAATCCTACCGTCTCTGGAGCAGGTCCCGCGGAAATTGACCGCCTCACAATCGGCCACGCGCTTGTGCATGTCTTGGATCTTCTCATGGGCTGCGGACAACTCTTTCGCATGCTTGTCGGCAGAATCTCCGATCATTTTCTCGATGTACTCCAGTCTTTCCGACACTGTAGCGTGATGAGCGTCTCGAAGCTTCGTTTCCGTGGTAATCCTTGAGTGTGAGGCTTTCAAGGCATCAACTTCCTTGGCGTGCTTCTCGGCAGACTGGCCCAAGCTTTTCTCAAGGAAGTCTAAGCGCTCACCCAGAGAAGCACTGTGGGCAGCGAGAGCAGCCTTGTGCTCTTGAGAGCTGGTGCTATGGGATCTGTGGAGTTCAGAGATGTTAGCACCATGCTTCTCACACTGACTTAGCCGTGTATGCACTTGCTCTAACTTTGAATGGGCTGCCTTCAATTCACGTTCATGTTGATCGAAAGAATCGCCGATCTTTGCTTCCAAATATTCAAGCCTTTCTGCAATGGAGGCGTGCTTGTCGTCGCGGAGCTTCTGTTCTTTGCTCAACCTCTGATGCGCTGCCTTGGTTGCCTCGATCTCCAGCGAATGTTTACTGTGAGTGTCGCCCATAGCAGTTTCCAATCGTCCCAGCCGCTCTTCCAAAGTAGCCACATGTTTTTGCCTCGCCTCCTTCTCCGAGTGCAGGAGAGTGCGAAGGGTGTCCTTCTGCAGCTTGCTAGACAAACGCTTTGCTATGCTCATGTCATCAGTGTAGACTGGAGGGCAGTGTTCTGTTGAAAGCTCTGCCACGCAAACAGCTTTCGACCAAACTACAATCTAGAAAGGACATCATTAGGTACCCAATCAAGCGCTTTGTAGTTCCATAAAGGTCCTCGTGCTGCGCGCCAGCAACTCTTTGGTGCACCTGATCGATCTTGCTGTGGGCCGCTTTGATTTCTTGGGCGTGTTTATCAGCTGAGTCGCCCAGAAGCTTCTCGATGAAGTCCAAACGCTCCGAGACGGTCGTATGGTGTGCATCTCTAGCTTTTGCTTCGGAGGCCATGCGTGAGTGCGAAGTTTTCAGGGCTTCCAGCTCTCTGGCATGCATGTCAGCGGACTCACCCATCAAGCCTTCCAGATAGCTTAGCCTCTCGCTGACGGAGGAGTGCAGGGTGGAAAGCTTATCACGATGCTCTTGGCTAACCTGATGGTGTGACTTGTGCAAGTCTGCCACAACGGAGCCGGTATCCTCACAGCTGGCAACTCGCGCGTGGATCTTCTCGATCTTGTCGTGAGCCGCCTTGAGCTGCTTAGCATGCATGTCTGCAGAGTCTCCAAAAGTCCTTGCAGGAGATGTATGTAACAATGCCAGGCTAGCATCTACCAGCAAGATGAACAGCTTGAAAGCTCCTCTCCAAGTAATCCAGCCGCTCTGCGAAGGAGGCATGATGCGCGTCGCGGGCTGTCTTGTCGGCCACCAAGCTCGCATGGGCTTTCTTCAGTCCATCAACTGTCGATCCTTCAGCAATTGGGGGCACAAAAGATACCTATAGTTCTTTCCAATTTGTGTTTTCGGCCTCTGGAAATCTAAAATGCTAGCGGTACGGCTTCACATGCATCTTTTCAAGTTCGCATTTTCTAGCTTGTCGAAGATCTTCTACCTTCACAATGCAAATTATGTGCTTGCTTCACGTGGGGGATTGTCAAAATTATGGTCCCTTTTTGGGTCCCTATTATAATACGGGGCCTAATTTGGGGGACCCAAAAAGGGACCATAATTTTGACAATCCCCCACGTGTACCCTGTAGTTCACATGACAAGTCTGGAGTCCTGTCGCTTCGCATGCAGAAAGACGCGCATGCATGCTGGCGAGCTTGGAATGAGCTGCAGCGAGCTCCTGCTCGTCACACGCATGAGTCGCGTCTCCGTCAGTAATGCCTCGGACAAGCCTCAAGCCTGCTGTTGAAGGCAAAAAGTGTCCTGGCTGTGTCTCTCTGCAGAATCTCCAATGGCCTTCTCCAAGAACGAAAGTCGTTCTCCGACATTGACATGGTTCGCCTCCTACACACATGCAACATCATGGCAACATGCTTTTGCATGTGCGTGGAAGCTGCCTTCGCCTTCGACTCGGTTTGAAGCCGGCTGTGCGCAGTCTTCAAGCTTTCTAGCTCTCTGGCATGCTTGTCCGCTGAGTCACCTATCGCGCTTTCCAAATAGTCGACGCGCTCCTCAGTCAAAGTTCAACATTTGTTCTCACATGTTCTCACGGGCCTGTGCATCTGGCTAACTGATGCTCTCTCTTCTTCTTATCTCTCCTTATTGATATGATTGTAATTATCTTTATTGTCTTTCTTCTTCTCACGAGCCCCACACGTCGCTCGAGCCAGTAGCAAATCATGAGCATTCAACCTCCCCATCATGTTCAAAATTCCCAGACCTCAAACACGGGCCACCCGGAACCGTTTCCGTGCAATATGGAAGCGTTGCAGTTCCACATGGGAACGTTCCACCTGAAGTCTCTTTTTGGTAGATTTCTCCTGAACAATGGCAGCTGCCCAAAGCAAAGCCACGCCACCGAAAGCTCTCAGCCCTGCTCTTCAGCAGGTCCTGGCCATAGCAAATCAGCGTGCGGCTGCTCTACAAGTACCCGGCCAAGTAAAGTGCTCTGAAGAAAATGACGCACGACTGAAGACCCTCTTCCTGCTGTGATCCCCCAAACGCCACTTCGCCTGTGAAACCGCAGTCCCACCAGCGCCCTTTGTTGATCAAAGGGATGCAAAAGCCGCTGTCCCAGCAGGACCCTCTGTTCCCCCAAGGCAGCAGCGCCAACGCAAACTGACTACGTTGAGGAGGCAGGTTGCACCTCCCAGTCCCGAGAAGCAGAAGGTGGAAAGCAGCCCTCCCGGAGCGCAGAAACTGCCCAAGCTTCGCGGGGTGGGGGGGGTGGGGCGGGGCAAGGTGGGCTGGCTGCAAAAACACCGCACAACCCCCATCTTGCTGCGAGATGGGAGGGGGTGGTTGGGGGAGGGGGTCTGGGGGATCAGAAAACCCGTGCTTGACAGGTGAAAATTGGCTGTAAAAAAAATCCGCGTTGTCGTGGCTGGGCTGGGGTGGGGGTGGCGGGAGCTAAACGACTACAGGAGGCCAACGCAGTATCGCAACAAGGGGTGGCAAGAGGGCTCCTTAGTGGAGGTGCGAGTCGTTGATATTGACCCCATCATCATCATCATGATCATCATCATCGGCAGGGCCATCTAAGGCGCACGGCCTAAAAAATCTAAGGCGCACACACGCTCTGGAGCATCTAAGCCGCACACAAGTTCCTTAAATGCTCCCGTGGAAGCGTCGCGGCGTCCTTTGAATCAATGCTTCTTACAGGGGCCTTGAGATCCATCCGAAGCTTTGATTTTTTTTCATGTTGACCCAGTTGTAGCGATCAAGGAGTCATACGTGTGGCCTTACAGAGAGCACGGTCAAACTTTGGCCTTTCTGGGACGCCTGCATCTGTTCAGGCCCGCATTTCACAGATGACTGAGGAATCGGGGCTCGTTTTGACAGGCATATTGGCAACGTTTGGCCGGGGCTTGGTCAGTTTCAAGGATGTCCGCAGAACAGCAGTGGCTAACCCGAATCCCTAAACCCTGAACCTTGCACCCTAAACCCTGAACCCTAAACCTACGCAATAGGAGCGCCCCGCCCCCTTTACCAGGACGGCAGAGCTTGCGAGCAGCCACTGGACGAAGGATGGGTCACCGCTTGCTCCCATCTCTTCTGCTACAAGCGCTCCCCGATCCCTGTGACGGTTGACACTTCTGGAGACGCGACGACCTAAGATGTCAACGGTCACAAGATCAAAAATGAGGACAGTTCTGCGTTTCCCGACCAGGACCCCCCGATCCCTGTGACTGTTGACACTTTTGAAATGGGGATTTTGGATTTAGGGTTTAAGGGTTTTGGATTTAGGGTTTAGGGGTTTTGGATTTAAGAGTTTTTCAGGGTTTAGGGGTTTAGGGTTCAAGGGTTTTGAAATTAGGGTTTAGGGTTTAGGCTTCAGGGATTTTGGATGTAGAGTTCGGGGGTGTAAGGCTTTTGGATTTAGGGTTTAGGGTCTAGGGGGTTTGGATTTACGGTTTAGGGTTCAGGGTTTAGGGGTTTTGGATTTACGCTTTAGGGTTTAGGGTTGGGACCTCTTGGATTTTGGATTTAGGGTAAAGAGGTTTTGGATTCAGGGTTTAGGGTTTAGGGGCTGTGGATTTAGGGTTTAGGGTTTAGGACCTACGGGTTTGGGATGTAGCGTTTAGGGGTTTTGGATTTAAGGTTTAGGGTTCAGGGTTTAGGGGTTTGGATTCAGGGTTTTGGGTTCAAGTGTTTTTTAGGCTTTTAGGGTTTAGGCTTCAGGGGTTTTGGGTGTAGAGTTTCGGGGGTTTAGGGCTTTTTGGATTTGGGGTTTGAGGTCTAGGGGTTTTGAATTTACGGTTTAGGGTTTAGGGGTTTTGGCTTTAGGGTTTAGGGTTTGGGGTTGGGGGCTTTTGGATTTCGGGTTTAGGGTTTCGGGGTTTTGGCTTTAGGGTTTAGGGCTTGGGGTTTAGGGTTTGGGGCTGGTGGCTTTTGGATTTATGATTTAGGGTTTAGGGTTGGGGGCTTCAGGGTTTAAGGTTTAGAGGTTTTGGATTGAGGGTTTGGGGTTTTGGACTTAGGCTTTAGGGTTAAGGGGTTGTGGATTTAGGGTTTAGGGGTGGTGGGGTTTTGGATTTAGGGTTTAGGGTCTAGGGGTTTTGGATTTAGGGTTTAGGGTTCAAGGGCTTTGAATTGAGGGTTGAGGGTTTAGGCTTCAGGGGTTTGAGATGTAGAGTTAGGGTGTTTGGATGGTTTTGGACTTAGGGTTTAGGGTCTGGGGGGTTTGGATTTACGGTTTAGGGTTTAGGGCTTTTGGATTTAGGGTTGGGGGCTTTTGGATTTAGGGTTTAGGGTTAAGGGGTTTTGGATTCAGGGTTTAGGGTTTTGGGGCTTTGGATTTAGGGTTTAGGGTTCTGGATTTAAGGTTTGGGGTTTTGGATTTAGGTGTTAGGGTTCGCGGGTTTGGGTTTGGGTTTTTTTTTCTCGGACCTTTTCTCCAAGGCATGAAATCCTTAAAGATGCCATTCCGGCACGGTCCCGTTCAAGACCCTGACCTTCCCAGCTTCATTAGCTGACGTCAAAGTGGGACGTGAGCATGGCAACTCAGTCCAGCACACGGATACCTCTGAGTCCCACAGCAGCCACAAGTTCCTCACAGCACTACAGGGGCCCGGTACCTGCATGGGTTTGGGTTTAGGGTTTGGGATTTAAGGGCTTGGGATTTAGGGTTTAGGGGTTTTGGACTTGGGGTCTAGGGCTCAAGGTTTAGGGGTTTGGATTTAGGGTTTAGGTTTCAAGGGTGTTGAATTTAGGGCTTGGGGTTTAGGCTTCAGGGGTTTTGGATGTAGAGTTTGGGGCTTTAGGGGTTTTGGATTTGGGGTTTAGACTCTAGGGGGTTTGGATTTACGGTTTAGGTTTTCGGGGCTTTGGCTTTAGGGTTTAGGGTTTGGGGGTTAGGATTTAACGGTGTTGGATTTAGGGTTTAAGGTTTCAGGGTTTTGGATTTAGGGTTTAAAGTTTAGGGGTTTTGGATTCAGGGTTTGGGGTTTTGGACTTAGGCTTTAGGGTTTAGAGTTTAGGGGTTTTGGATTTAGGGTTTGCGGTTTTGGACTTAGGCTTTACGTTTAAGTGGTTTTGGATTTAGGGTGTAACCCTATATACGCCCCGAACCAGGCTTACACAACCCCTTCAACCCCTATATTGGCTCAGAAGAAACCTATGTGTGTTTCTGCTGATGTCCTGGAGCACTTCCCGCAGAACACGGCCTGGGGTAATCCCCAGATGCGTGAACTATGGACGCTACAAAGACTTAGACGATGGCTTCGTTTCTTGGAACGCTAGCATCTAAGAACTGGACATCTCGAGCACTCAACCCCAACGCTGAATCCAGAATCCCGCTAAACTGGACAGTGCCCAGGCCCTAAATCCTAAACCCCCAACGCAAAATGAACGCAGAGAGAATGAGCGAGACCAGACCCCGAATATCCCGAAAGCAATCACTTCGACACTAGCAAGAGACGCGTATCTGGCCATGTTCCAGGTGTTGAGGTCGTGGCGCAGTGTAGGCGCCGCGGTCTACATGGGCGGTGTAGCTGCTGCGGCGTACGCTGTGCGGTGCAGGTCCTGTGCTGTGTGTGCGCGGTGAGGCGCCGCGAGGTACGGGCGCGAAGGCGTTGCCGTGGCGCTGCCATCATTCCGAAGAGAAGTCTCCGGACGCTCCATGCGCCGGCGCCGGCGCCGCCGCCTGCCGAAAACGGCGAGAAGGTGGTCGATTACGACAACAATTCTCGGGACGCTCCACTCGCCAGCGCCGGCCACCCGCCGAAAACCACAAGAGGGTCGCCAACTACGAGAATTCTGAGGACGCTCCAGGCGCCAGCGCCGCCACCCCACCAAAATCACCCGAGGGTCGTCGATTCCGAACAGAATTTTGAGGACGCTCCACGCGCCAGCGTCGTCGCCCGCCAAAAATAGCGAGAGGGTCGTCGATTCCTGCACGCGCCCGCGAGCACCACAGACGCAAACCCGCGTGCACCTTAGACGCAAAATGCCGTGCACCTTAGACGTGGCGCCCGTCATCATCATACTTGTTGCTGCGTCCTGCTCACAAAGGAAGAGCCTGGAGGGTTGAGAGCAAAATCATGTTTGTACATAATTAGGATGCCGTCATGCTCGCGAAATAGCTCATTGGTTCCCATTTAGGATTTACTTCCGACACTGATGGCGTTACCCGCTCAGTTCGGGAACCAGCCTTCAGTGCCTGATCATTAGGTCCTTGGGAGGGTGAGGGCTAGCTGTATCTTCTTCTCTAGCTACACGTCTCTGGAACTCAAACTGACTCAAACTGCCGTCTCGCAGTGAACAAAAGAGCTAGGGATGTGACTCGCAACGTTGCATGATGAGCGTGGAGAGCAGCATGCTGGTCAGCCAGGCTGACCTTTGAGGAACAGGGAGGGGCTGGGAGGTAGGGTAGAGGATGATGTCTGTGGCACCTCTTTGGCACGCTGCTGCTCACTTAAGGAATTGTGCGACCGTTCGCACGCAGAAAGACGGCCATGCATCTGCTCCAGCTTCTGGTGGGCGACCTTCAATTCTTGGCCTTAGGCTTTGTTCGCTCGTCCGTTGTCTTGTAACCGCGCATGCTCAAGCGCCCGGCTGTGTCGGTCGGCCGAGTCGCCCAGCAGCTTTTCTATGTAGTCCAACCGCTCAGCCATCGAAGCATGATGCGCATCACGCTTGGCCTCAACATTGTTGTGGTGCCGCTTTGGTGCTTTGTCACACTCGCAAGCCTTCTCGTTTGCCCACACGGCGTGATTCTGCTTCAAGCTCTCGATGGTGCCACCTTGTGCCTTGATATGCTTCGACTTCCGGATGCAGAAGATTGCAAAAGGCCACGAGAATCTTCATGCTACATGTTGCCTCCAGTGTAACCATGCGGCCGTGAAGTTGGTCCAACCTTGAATGTGCCTGAATGCAATCATTTGAAGGTAACCAAGCTGCACTCAGCCCTGAAACCACACGCTTGGTTGGCCAAAGCACATTAGAGGGCACACGACCGGCCTGCTCAGAATGGCTTCTTAACGCCTCCAGGCCATGCACTCTTTCTGCCAGCTCCCTATGTTCCTGGAGCGAGCCTCACTGTTGTAAAAGATTGCAACAGCAAGAACTTTCCTCTGGGACACCAACTGAGAAAGCGGCTCTGGTGGTGCGCGAGTTTCTGATGTGCTTGGTCCACATGGTTCTGAACCTCTGGTCATGCCCACGCACTTTCAAAGCCGTAACGAGATTACGGCTCTCCTGCTCCAACTTGCGCCCGTGCACAGCCTCCAAGCTGTTTGACTCCCAAAGATCAGGCTTCAGCTGCTTCATGGTGCATCTAGTACATTTGGGAGCAGCGCAACAGATTCAGAGATCTGCTGGTCCATGCTCGTCAATCGCGCCTCCCGGTCGACGGAGCATCGCGATAAACTGAACTGGGGAAGTGACGCGCATAGTTTAAAAAAAACAACAGCCTCCCAGTCTTTTGTGCGGCGCTCATCTGCCTGCGCAAACCTTGAAGAAATGCAAATGATTGTGTAGCCTCTCGTATGAAGATCAGTGTCTGTAAGACGTGTTAACAAGTTGTGAGCATTCTGCCAGACAAGTTAGTATAAGGGTCAAGCTTCCCAATCATTAGCCGCCATTAGCATCTGAGCTCCAAGCTGCTTCTCCAAGAGCTCCAGTCTCTCCTGAATGCTTCCGTGCAGCTTTTCCATCCTGGAAAAATCAGCATTGTCTGCAGCAGGGGCCCCGGGAATTTTTACCGGCCTGGAGGAAATCTGCTCCTGGAAGCTGCCGTGAATGCGCTCCCAGTTGGAGTGTGCCGCTTGTAACCCCTTCCAAGAAAGAGATACTTAGGTGGTCAACGGTTTGGCAACTGCACCGTTCCCCAGTACCCGGCCTCAGCATGCTTTTGCGAAGACTCTCCCAGCAGTTGCTCAAGAAAGTCGACTCTCTCACGCAGCGAATTCTGGTTAGCCTGCGCGGTCGTCACAAGAAGTCATGTCCCTGCTCTTTGAATGTTGCACATCGATTAGGTGGCACAGCATCACTTGGGTTTTGGCATGCCTGCATAGAAGCACTCTACCGCGCCTGCGATTCACAGGCTGCCAGGCGGTTGTGCCTGGATGCCATCCCAGGTTGTGTCACGTCTCCAGTGCCGCAACGAGGTCGAGGCAGACTTTCCAATCGGGAATGCGACGACTGGATCTCTTTGGAATGGCGATCAAAGGAATCGCCAACCTCAGCACCGTTGCAGCAACCGACTTTTTCCTTTGTCGCCTCTCAGTGCCCTACCAATTGCTCAATATAGCTGAGCCTGTCTGCCACTGAGGCATGGTGTGCCTGCAGGGCAATCTTCCACAATGATCCACACGTTTGCCACTGGGCGGTGGGCTTGAAAAGCGGATAGCAATGAGAGTGAAACGGATGTTGTGTTTTAAAACCAGGCATGCAGGAAGTCAGGAAGGTGTTGGATGGTTCTATGATGTCTGGCATCATCACGAGATGCCTCTTGCTTGTTCCAGATCACGAGCCGAACACAGCGAACAGGCTGGACAACCAGGTTTGCCTACACCTACACCCTGTAATACGTTGCTGCGACATGTCTCACTTTGTCAAGTTTGCCTTGTCATCCGAGACACTGTTGGGTGCAACTGATGGCACTCACATGGTACATTATCCAAAGCCATTGATCCAAATTCTGTCCAGCCTAGAACGCTATGCTAGTACCGCAGTGGTGATTACTTGTAGGAAGTTCTCTGTAGGGGGCGGCCTCATAGTGGAACAAAAACTGCTTCAATCTTAATGCAGGCTTTTGTCTATTCACTGGGCCTTATGCGGCACTTTTAATCCGCGGCCCCTCATCTCGTTTGCCTTTTATACTCAATCTTGTATTGTACCTTGATAAAATCACCTGATCTCGTTCGCCATGTTGGAACATGTACTGGGCTCTTACTGCAAAAGAAACTGTGGCTTGCCTCGTTCAATCCACGGCCCCTATTTCGTTCCCGGAGGAACGCTGAACCCAGGTGCAAAAATACCAGCGCATCATAACGCGCCTAGCCTTCTACTCTCTTACGTAAATAAATGCGGGTGCTCTTGCGGTATTGCTACCAACCCGTGACCATTGGCCAGAAGAAGGCCTCCCGTGCTTTTGCCTCTCCAGCCAGCCTGGCCTGCGCGGACTTGGCCTCAGCTGGGCTCGCCGCTGTTTGCCTACTGACTGCAATTACGCATCCCTTAGTCACACAGAGCTCATGTTGCCCGGAGGCGAAGTATCAAAAAACTACGATATGCACACATGCATCGAGGGGGTCGTTTCGCCACATCTATTGGACACTAGTTTTGGGACCAGTACGAGCTGGGCTCTGAGGGTGCAGAACCTCAAGCCGGACGTCGGGATGCTTTCGGGACAGGATTGTCTGAGTGTTTGGGAATCAGACGCCACACTGCTGCTGAATGCATGCATACAGGTGTAAGTCAAAAATGCCTTCATGGATACGTACACACCGTTACGTGCATGCATAACATTGTATGCATAGCATTGCATGCAATCATGAATGCATGCACACGCTCAAGAAAGCCATGTACTTTGCTTCCTTCCTGCACCCCTTTGCCATCGTTCTGCTTTTTATCCTGTCCTTCTTCATTCCTACCGTCATATAGTGTGAAAATCAACCAAGTCAGAACTAGCATGAAATTCAGAAACCTTCAGCTGACTCAGCGTGCGTGGAGGGAGCCATCGCTGTTCCCACACAATCACAAGTGTACTGAAGTTTTGATTACGGACAAGTCGAGAAGGTAGCAGCTGAAGCCTCAATGGTTCAAGATCCAGATTGCTGTTGCTTAGGATGCCGTCCCGCGGCAGGGTTGAAAAGTGCAGGAGCGGCATATGAACAAATTTGAAGTTCAGCCTACAGCTTACCGCGCTTGCACAACTACGAGCTGACTACTGTTGATTCTAGAAATCCTGCACGACCTTAGTTCGAAGGGCTTCAGGGACTTAGGGTCGTGCATTTTGTGCATCCAACCGTAGGATGCAGAATCCAGCACTTTGAGATTACAGTGGTTTACATGAACTAAAGAATGCATGGCACCCCGAACACAAAATTCTTGAGGTGCAAGCCTGTGCATGCTCAAGCTATCATGTCGTATCATGCTGAGCCGCGCACCGATTCAATCTCTTGCGCGTGCCGATCCACAGACTCACCCAGCAACCGTTCCAAGAAGTCCACTCCTCGGCGTTAGCATTAGCAGAAAAAGCTGCTACATGAAGCACATGATTCACCGAGAACCCTGGCTGGCATGCTTACAGTTGTTGTCAATATCAACATGTTCGGCAAATCTCTTAGAAGGTCTGAAAGATACCGGCGCAAACTGCATGTTTTGGACTGTTCCTTGCAGATCAGCTGCAGCTTACTTTTTTCCGGATCTTGCAAATCAGGCTTCCTTCAGAGGGGTCCCCACCCCCCCAACCCCCCCCGAACATGTTTTGACGGTCATCATATACTTACGGGAAATTGTTGTTCCACAAGTCGAAACAGTTCTTGGAATAATCTGGTGGTCCAAACATCTCTTTTTGCTTGAAAGAACTTCCGCGTCATGCCTGTGTCCACGGGATGGCATGCATACATGTGGGACTTCTGCTACAATGAACGACTTGGGTGTGAAATAATGAAGTGCAAAAACATTGAAACAATACCTGGAGGGGATTGTTGAAATGCCGCTTTCTTCTGCATGGCACTCTTGCTGTGTTCCCTTACAAAGGAACATCATATTGATGGTAAGCCCGCATGGAACACTAATTCATGATGAAAGGTTGTCCGAACAACAAGAACATGTGTCCTGCTTTACCGCATACACCAACAATTCCAAATGCAAAATCTTATTACCCACAAGTCTTTGCAATCCTTAGAGCCTTACACACCATCACAACCAATAGACTCTTAATCTGACCCTGCAAGCCCACAAGCCCATGTCAACCTAAACCCTGCAAGCTACACACTGTACGAGCCCCATATCCAAGCCCTAACTAAACTAAACACTATCAGCTCAGAAAAAGGGCTCTAAAAGATGGCTTACGCATGGAGAAAGGAAAAAGCATGAGATCACGTGACTTAAAATAATGTTGACTTCACGTTAGGGACTAGGCCCACAAATACCAAATCCAGCCGGCGGAACACAATTATGAGTAGACGCACAGTTGTGATGTGTCGGGAAACTATTTTCAAAATTGGATTTAATAAGATCCTAATTGATTCTAAATAAATGTTCAAACCAACGTTTTTGGTATTAACATTCAGGGGCCCCCCCAAAAGTGGCAATAGATCAATCAAAGGGAGATTATGAATGGGAAGTCAAGATTACGCTTTTTGCAGCCGGCTGCAAGACCCGCATAAGGACTTCTATATGCATCATGAAAGTGTCTATGCGTCAGCATTCATGTCTCCCCCCTCCACTCCTCAACGGTGTATGATATGAGCATGAGAACCTAAACCCCCCCTGGTCATGTGATCCTGTGGTTTGGGTTCGGTGGTTGAAATTCGAGGTTTAGATCAGATTTATAGAGGCGGCATGATGTTTACAGAGGGGTCTAAAAGGTTTCAAAAACGTGTACAGAGGGTTCAATAATTTCGCAACAAGTTTATGAAGGTTTCAGGACGTTTTATACAGGGCTTATTAAGAATGGGGTTTCTAGAGGGTTTTGAAAGCTTTGATAGAGTTTGAAAAACGTTTATAAGGAGTTCATAGCTTTTATAGACAGTTATAAACGGTTAGATAGATTATAGAGGTCTCGGAGACAGTTAATCAAGGTTTCATAGTGGGGGTTGTAGATATGGCTCGTCCCCAGATGGGGACCATACATTTCTTTGGGGAGCGACTGGGCATACGAGGATATCAGGTACACCCTAACAACGCCAAAGACCTTTCGAGAAGCCTCAAGTTGAAGCGAGCACTCGATCGGGCAGTGGCTCAGAGTCTTAGGGGGCTCGCGGAGTTGCACCCAAAACGCAAAAGAAGCAATATGATCGCAAGAATAAGCTTAGCTGCTGGGGGGTGCCAAGCCCTAAACCCTGAATTCCCAAACCCTAAAGCCTTAGGATCAAGCACACCCTCAAAAGGTGGCTTGAGGCTGACAGGGCGTAGGGCTTGGGGACTTAGGGATTCAAGAATTGCCCATGACGTAGACCAACGTGTGACCCGTTCCCCCCCAGCAGTTGTTTTCACTGTGGGATACTTGGAGGATCCAAACCGACTATGGAAGTGCGATGGGAATTGGCTTTGATTTCAATTCACGAGGCCTTCGACTGATGGGTCTGAGTTCAGGGATGTGGGATTTAGGATGGTCTAGGGAAAATGTTCGTTCTGGGTGATGGCATGCATGTACGGTCCAGGATGTATGACCTTCAGGGGCCGCGGAGGATTTACAGGGCTCATGTTTTCTGGCCTTTTGTCAGTTGATGTCTCATGCTTAGCATTATGGCTTTTATGGTGCTTCGGCACTGCTACTTGCGCTTTCTCAACTTCTGCACTTCGCGATGTTTTGCCGTTTCTGCCGTCTTGAATGGTTTCTTTTCTCTTGTGCCTTGAAACTCGCTCTGTCCTATCCCAATTCTATATGAGCCCCCTGGGGTTTCTTGTAAGGCTTCTATTATTGCCCCTTAAGTATTATCTTTGTGATTTTGTCGAAGTTTTCTGGCAATGCAACATGGCAGTGTGTCTTTGTGGCGTTCAAATTGTAGCTAATCTGCTGGCTTCATGGCTGCAATCCTTAGTTTATGCAAGATCGATCTGTGCAAGTACCTGGGTGGGCCTGCCTTTTTCTGCGCTTGCAACATGAACCCTAGGATAGCGGCTGAGATTGAGACTTCTTATGCACAAAAAGGAAGCCTGTCTCGGATGACAGGAAATGTTAGCCATAATGACGCCTCGACATTGCGGGCCCACACCGACAAGTGAAAAACCTGAAGTTCAGAATGAAAGAGCTGATTTCGGAGACCCCGGTTAGGAGATCACTCGAGGCGACATGACAAAAAACTTCCCCAGTATGAAAAAAGCATTGCCGAGAGAATGTCTCCGGCAGTTGGCTTTGACATTTCGGCCCGCTATTTTAGCACGTCGGCGCTTTCTTTTGTCATGTCGGCGGGACCGGGGCCTCTAAGCATGTCGGCCTGCCAACTTTGACACATCGCCGCGTGGTGTTGCCATGTCGGCGGACGATGCCCTTTTTGTCATGCCAGCGGGTATGTCGGCGCTCAGTTTTTACATGTCGGCGGGTGGCACGCATTTTGTCATGCCGGCGGAGGCATGCGGAGGCCAACTTTTTTCAGGTTGGCGGAAAAGTGCCATGTCAACCAACAGCATGCCATTTGGCTTGTCGGCGCCGGATTTTGGCATGTGGGCGTGCCCTTTGGGATGTCGGCGCGTAGTGGTTTCAATCTTTGCCTTGCAATGATTCATCAGTCCTGCCTCACTGTTGTTCATTGCTACCAAAATTTTGCTATGTCGGCGCATATGGCGCATCAGCTTTGACATGTTGGCATATCGGCGGATAAACGCGGCTTTCTCATGTTGGCGGAAAAATTGTAGCATGTCGGCGGGTCTTTTTCTGCATGTCAGCGCAGCATTTTAACACACTGCCTTTCATTCTTATTCAGTCCTACCAACATCTTAATATGTCGGCGCCTGCTGCGTCAGCTTTGACGTTGGCACGCCAGCTCTGCCATGTTGACGGATACTAAAAAGTATCCTGTTGAGCTTCTACCGACGTACTTAGGTACGCCAAACACAGACAACGGGCGAATTCGCGAGGATCCATTTTGGGATGCCTGGGATGGACAGCATTCAAGCTCGCTTGCCTTCAAATTGTCCCCACAATCGCACTGCTTCCGCAACGCTGATGCAATGTTCCAGGAAACGGCACCCCACAATGAACGCAATTGTCCAAGCCGCTCGGACATGCAACGAGGCTGCTGACTTCGACACGTCGCAAGCCAAAGCTGAGCTGACGAATTGCAATCCGGATCTGCAAAGATCTGCAAAGCTCCTCCATGCGCCGGAAGGTCTGCTTGTGAGCTGGCTGGTTCATCAGCACAGACGGACGTCCCAATGCTCCGGGGCAGTCGCGCTGCTTGGTCCGGTCATCCGGCGAGAGCAGAAGGCAGAGTAGCTGAGAGTTAGAGCCATAGTGGTGTGCCACAGCATCACAGAAAAGGCAAGCACTCAGCAGTGGCCATTGGCCGCAAAAGCGCAGCTGAACCATGAGGCGGAACGAGCACTGTATAACATTCAGGCCCGAGGCACGTGTGCAACCAAGAACCAACCCAAATGTTGCAGCGGCTGAAGACGTGTCCCGCTAGCTTCACGACCTGGCCCAACTGCCAAAAAGGTCATGGTCACAGCGTAATCCAGAGCCTGGAACAGCTCTCGCTGTCAAGTTGAAGCACACATGCGGTCCAAAGGCGGGACGGGCTAGTTGAGTTTGATCATGGCTGCCAAATATGCAGACAGCGGCACAAAGGAGTGGGTGGAATCAAGGGCCTGACAGAAGATTCCAGTGCAAGCCGCAAATGCGACATGAACGGCCGTTGAATGGTGCCGAACCAGTCGCGGCTTTAGGTGGGACAGGAAGCCGTCGCCCAGGCGTCAGCGGTGAGTGGGCGAGTACACAATTGCGCCAAGTGTTCACACACCAGCTTGTTAAGATGCTCGGCGGTGCCAATGTGCACGGCAGGCAGGGTCACCTGCATCACGGAGGTGTTCCGGCAAAAGGCTGCAGCAGCGCCGTCTGAACGTCTAGGAGAACGGCTGAGCTGGGCCTTCTCAACATGTTCCCTCCCAGTGCAGGTTTCGCAGAAATGTGCAAGCCAAACAGGTGCCCCAAGCATAAGAAAAACAAAAAGGGCGCTGACCCTTCACACCAAGAGCTGCAGCCCAAGCTGGCGGGCAGCAGCAGCCAAGCGCGGTATGACGGAAGTCCTGCAAACCTGTCACAGGAACTGGCCGGCGCAGGCTTGGGCCCCATCAGGTAAAGAATCGAGCCCGAGCGATCGATGAAGGCCTTGATGGTGAGCACAAGCAAATGTTACTTCGCTGTCTTCTTGGCCGAGCACACCAGGCTTGGATCGTCAGCTGCACTGAAGTCGCAATTTTGCAATACTGACTCATGGAGCAGGTGCCTGCAATGAAGGCACCAGTCTTCATCTCATTGACACTTAATTACTCTTGAAAATGTTTCTGCGGACCAACAGATTTTCCTACTATCACGGAATCACTTTTCACTGTCGACAATTACGCTGAGGATCAGCCTGACGAGTGATCGACGACCGTTGCCGTAATTCGGGAATTATTCCAAGTGCTTTCACAAACTGTTGATGACTGGTTGAAGCCACTTTTCAGAATTCGTTGAAGCAATTGGTGATGATTCCTTGGTGAGAGTCTGCGGAGCCAAACATTGAAATACGGGACAGGCTGCCGGGAAAGCGGAAAGATACACACCTTCAAAAGCATTCAAAGTTTGCTGGCAAACACACTCAAACAGCTGCTAGAATGATCAAAGAAACATGAGCCATGGCTTCAAAATTCAAAGCCGACTTCTAAAATCCTGAAATTGATTCAACTTGCATCAGCCTCATCTTCAGAAAACTGTCAAAATCAACTTCCAAGAATCATCAAAATACTGTCCATCGAAACATGGCTACAAGATCAGCAGAATAACCGTGCTGAAAATCATCAAAGAAATATAACCCATCGAATGCTATTGAAAAAATCAAGAAACTTTGATATCGTCATTCGGAAAATCATCTGCAACATTATGCTCCGCAGGAAATTCATCAAACAACACAATCAACTCATCGGCCCGGAAATCATGTCAAAAAAAAATCGTGGCTGCTGGAAGCCATCGCGCTTAATTCCGCGAGTGACTTGATTCGCGAGATCATGAGCTTGACGACTTTCTGCAGATGCAAGAGGGAAGCAAGCGCAAAGGATGCAATGATTTGATGAGAAAACTGCTTTGCAATGCCACCAGTGTGTGGCTCAGAGAACGTGACACACATGTTGACACCGCAAAGTTGAACGAACCATTGCAATGCCTAGAATTAGAACCACACACTCTCACTCGGTCTCTCACTCCTGAGCTAGGCACGCTTCTGGATCGAAATGCTCAGCTGCTCCTGGGCCAGCAGCTTTGCCTGCCAAGATCTGCTAAGTCTCCAAACAGCCACCGAGAGGGTTTAGGGTTTAGGGCTTCCAACATTTCGAAGTTGCAGCTCGGATGGTTTAGTACACATGGGCACTCACTCCTGACTTAGGGTGATCCCTCCTCTGCTTTTATGAAGAAGCGCGTTTCCGAAGTGATACTGCTAAATGTGTGGTGCATATGGCTTTTGACGGGATGCGCCTTTTGGCTTCGGGTCTGACAGTTGGAATTTCTGGATGGACGAGAGATTTCATGTTCTGCGTGCCTGTGACATTACTTTACTCAGCAAGCCGCATTGCTGGCCTTCTGCTCCTTGAAGTCATTTTGCAAAGGCACCAGTGGCGCGCTCGGCGCTGTGTTGCTTAATCCTTCTTTGAGGGCTGCCACCTCGGCATGACGAGCATGCCAACAGCATTGAATTCTGAAGACTTCAAACCCAGCCTTGCCTCTCCCTGCAAGACAGCGAGGTCTCGGATGAAAATTGCGGTTTGCTCGCGGATCAGGCGCAGTTGAGACTGGTGCAGCTCCATTTCCTGCACGAGATGTCATGGAAACAGCGATGGGCTTGCGAATTGCCTTTCTGGAATGCCCTTCAGAACATTGGGGTACGATTATTTGGGCCTCTTCTAGATGTTTACGCAGCCTCTGCAGGTAGCACGACAAGCATGCTACGTACTGGTCATCCCTGCCGGTCCTTTTGGTCGAGGGTTTCGATTTCCCGCTCCCACTCGTCTTGCCGCCGGGCCATGTCATCCACTTCCAGCCGGCCTGACCGCAGAAGCGATGCGTCAAGATTCCACACCTGTGTGGAAAAACCGGCTTGGCGTGTGAGTCTGTAGCTGGTGGCCTAAGCGCTGAGGGCTTCCGCCAAAGACCTTAGCCACTAGCTGGATAACACTGAAGATTGTAGTGGTCAAGGAACATTCGCATCCAAATGGCAGCAGCATGCTTCTGGCATCGGCATGGTGCAAGCAGTAATCAACAACAAAGGGTCTCTTCTTGGCTGTGTCTGAGCTGCAGCCAATAGAACATAGCTAAAGACACAGGGCTTGACTGAGGAATGCATTCGGGACTATGCTAGATTAACTCATGTCCACCCTCAACATGTCATCGAGCATGTGCGTCGCAACCACACTATTGATGTTAGCTCACGTCTGGCCAATCTTGACAACTAGAGGCATTCAACCTTCCCAGACCTCATAATTACCGTATCATCAAGTGATTGTAGGTCAGTCAGGGCAGTCCAAACCATCTAGGAGCTGTCCAATCCAAGATAAACTGCTCACAGCATCTCACAGCCTCCTAGTCCAGAAGTGCAAGCAAGCTGCTGTCTGTGTCTGAGGTGACAGCATCACTAAACAGAGACAAGGCCGGATGCAAAGCCCTCTTGACCCAAGCTTCAGGGTGTTCATGTGCAACGTCGGAGCAAGCGGCTTGCTAAGACCATGAACGTCTACCCTGGCACCAAGCAATGTTTTGTCAAACGGAGAGAGCAACGAAAGATCCCAGCTGTCCTTCACCAGAGTTCAGAGTTGCTCTCCTCGCAAGCTGAGGCTTGGAAAGTTCAACAGAGCCACGAAGACACGAAGACCGTCCTCGTGACCTCGTGATGCTCCTTCTTCACCTCCTTGTCCGCGTTCTCCTCTTCGCTTGCATTTCTGTCTTTCCGGCACTTCTTTTCTTTCTTCACCTTGGCATCCTTCTTTTCTTTCTTCTCCTTCGTTCCTGCCTTCTTCTTCTCCTTTTTCTGTTTCTTCTTTTTTTTATTCTTCTTTGCAGCCTTCTTTTGAGCCTTGTACTCTGCGACCACCTTGTCATTTGATGATGTCATCGCTGGAGGCTCATGTATTTCCATGATTCAAGCACCGGCCTTCTGTAAGAAAGCTGGGTCCATCCGCAAACAATCTTGCGGTCGCAGCTTCAATTTCAGTTTTCCCTGCAATGGCGACGCAGATTCGTTGCACCTCTACCTAGAGAGCGTCTTGGTGTCTCGAGACTCCCAGTCCTGTCCCTTGAGTTGGGAGAGGTACTGATCAGGACGCCATGTGGGATCCTGTGACGCACTTGCAATACACGACCAAATACCCCATTGCAATTGCAGAAACAAACGGCCTTGCCATTTGCGAGCCTTTCCAAGAGCTCATCCTGCTGATGCCAAGTTGAATGCAGCTCGAAGCTCAGACGATACCTGCCTCTTTTTTGGCTGCATTCTCTTCCCTCTCCTGAACCAACATGGTCTCAAACCCTTCACTTTTGACTCACCAAACAGGCAGCAGACTATGTTGCCAAGATGAAAAAGCTCAGGTATGAACGTTCTCGAACTGGTTCACAACATTGCTAGTGACCTGCGGAAAAATCAAAGTAGACGGTTAGGTCCTGCCCATATGCAACACGACCCTGACTGGCCTCTGCGCCTTCAGGTACCTTAGTGACTTGGCGGACCTCAGGCACGAGCAACAATTTTTGGAGCATGTGTACATCGATGTGAGGTGCAAGCCACATCTCCCTTTCGGCTTTTGAGAGAGATGGTACACCGGCTGCCCTTGTCCTGGCATATGACGTGGCACGCAGGCTGCTGGTAATGGCTGAAAGCACTTAAGTCTCCTGAATCTCTCGTTCCTTCCAGAGGTCAACCTTCTCATGCGCCTCACAGTCCCAGACTTCTGGACATGTGTCGTTTCCTTACTGTGCATACTGCATACATTGCTTTCGTGCCTTGTTTCGAGAGAGTGCTTGACCAAGGACGGAATTCAAGGCCATGCTTCACTCTTGGTGAAGACGGCCGACGAATTAAGGGCATGCAGTTTGAACCTTCTGTAACGTGGACCTGAGCAACTCAGGCTAACAATGATGCCTTTACAATTTGGGCTTGACTAGTTGTGGACACGTTACGTTGTCTTCGGCACTCACTCTACTGCCTGTCAGCCACAATGTGCCGTGAGCAAAGCGCACAAACAGTCGGATGAGTTAAGGTGATACCTTTTGTCACAGGTGCAGTGCTGCTAAGTTTGGTATGACTGTCATAGCATGTGAAAGCATCTTGTTTCGCTGGCTGTTGTTTCAACAGATGTCCGGATCATTTGGAATTAGTTGGATATCTGCAGGACTCTCGGCACTTGACAGGATTTCCAGACAGCTTGTTCCTTAGTGCTCACCAGCTAATTGAGTTTATCATGGTCTTGATTAAAAATACGTAGGATCGCGCACAGCGCAGCTGGATCCCTAAATTTTGCTTCAATTGACGGATCCTAGGTGCCTCTCACTTGCAAAACAATTGACAGGGTTTGTCACGAGGCAACGGGAAAAACGACCGCTGCCTGCGCATCTGAATGAATGCCTCCTTCGGACAAGTCGAGAACTTTAGGGGTACAAAATGGTACAAAGCTCAAAACGATGAAAAATCGCGCAAATAGCTTCTCACAAAACGTTTTTGACCACAGCGTGTGATGCCAACCATCTGTTCATGACCCAGGCGTTCCGAAGCATTGAGGGAATCTCGAAAGACAGCATGACGAACCGCAAACCGGCGAACCGAACCGTGGGAAATTGTTCAGGAAGTGAACCGTTAAAGAACCGAACCGCTGCGAAGCGTAGGAAACCGAACCGTAGGAAGGTTCCTATTCAAAACCGTGTGGCTTAAAGTATTCAGGCATATGGGTCAAACCCTAAACCGTGCTAGACCCGCAACCCATTATCCAGGCACACAATTGGTTCAGATAGATTAGCGAGACACCCTGGCAGCATTTTAAACATGGATGCTTCATAATGATTGCTATTTAGGTAGTTTATCGAGGGCTTCGGATTTAGGATTTACAGAGTTCAGGGCTATAGGGTTCACATATATACAACCAGGCATATCATTAGCAGAGGACATATGTTTTTCTGTATAGGATTTATTGTAGCACTCCTTGTTGCTTAAGCCTGCTTAGCTCTGGATTCCGGATTCCTGAATTTGGGATGCAGGGTGAAGGGCCAGCAAGCCGGGGCTCGAATCATACACCCAAACGGGACCCAAGGTCAGCTCGGGCTGAGCTTGCGGCGCTATCTTACCCTTTGCTTCGGAATGGCGGAATGGACCGTTTGAGCAGTCCCTACATAATCCCAATGATATAGGTTTCGCTTAATGTCCTTATAATCGTCTTTATAAAACCCATTATAGTAGTTTCCATGTTCTTTCCCAGCTAACTGAGGGTGAATAACAACTTGCCACAGGGAGCCCCTCCCAGCTCATGCCACCACGCCGCCAAGGCAGCGCGGCCGCAACATCCCGCAGCACCAGACATAAAGCAAAAGCCACAGCAAGCCATACAAGAATCATGTCGCCAAAACGTTTTCCATGACACTGTTAAAACCCAACAGCAATGAAAATGTGTGCGATATACAACTTGCCCTGGAGGTCTTGCCTTTTTTGGACTATGCCCAGTAAATTCTGTTTGGGGCAGAGCCCCAAAAAGGAAGGACAACCTGGAAGGGAACCTTTTGACAAAGCAAGCGTGAATGTCAAGAACGCGAACACGCAGATTTTGTTGTCCGCAGGCGAAAATCAATCTCGCAGAGAAAGATCCATGCCCGAAAGTCGCGAAATGCTGCCAACACTGTCAAGTTTGTTTATCGACACGTCAAAAAACACAGCGAGCGGCCACATGTTCCAAATGTCGATCGTTAAGATGCCCCCACGCGGAAATCCGAAGCAGAAAATTGTAGAAAAAAACTGTAAGCAATACTTAAATAATGTGACGATGTCCCCCAAACCCAACCCCCCCCATTGACCCTGAAAACTTTTCACGGCCGTGAAAGGCAAACAGGCCAATAGCAGTGATGCTGACCCTGACACGAACAAAATGGCAACAGGAGTGCTACCCCAAAAAAAAACATGATACTAGCTGTTGCGATATGCAATAGCGATGATGGCAAATAACAGCAACAGCAAAAAGAACGGCAATAGTAGTCATGATAGCCGCGGCGCCAATAACCATAGCAAGACAAATACTGCAACAGCAACAGTAAAAATAGAAGACACAAGTGCAAAATGGACCGCAGTAATTTTGCAACCATAATTGCAGCACTTTACTACTTGATCTACGTGCTACGACGATCATGACAAAATGAAATCTATCAATGGCACTGACCATGGTAATTAAAAAACCGTAGAACCCCACATGTGTGGTTGGGCATGAATCTACGTGAGATGATATTAGGACACTGTCGCCCACCGGAATAAGAAGACATGTTCGAAGAGGAGGTGAGAATACGAAACGATCGTTTTGAACGATGCGAGGAGCTGGCGATGCGAACGTGAAGAAAACACATGTCTTCATGTTACGACACATGATCACCATCTCGCTCTCGACTCGAACATGGTCGTACATGTAGACCTGAGTCAGGTTTACTCACATGTACACTGAGACTGAATCTCGGACAGCATGCCAAGCTCACACCCTGCACCAGAATTCTGTCCGTGTCACAATAGGCGCAGATGCCGGGAAACCAACGTTCGACCAGGTAAGTCTCACCTTGTACTCCTTACTCTGTCGTTTCTGCACTGTTAAGTTATCCTTCTTGTTCGGGAAGCACGTCGTGGTCTCGATGAACTGGATATCAATCAAACCCATTGCAACGACACAAAGAGAATGGCATCCACTCGAGCAAGACGATCAAGCAAAACAACAAACTGTCAAGTGCAAGTGCACATCCAAGCAAGCACAGCGAAGGACCGTCTCGAGAGCAGGAGTCTGAATCTGCACGCTTTTTGGGTGCCGGCGCGCGTCTTATGAGCACAGAGCAGCAACCATTTTTTCCATCCGAGAACGGACACGCGAACCCAAACCGGCCAGCAAGCACTCGGCGGGACAAGCTCCCGATCATTAGGCTGCATCGCCACAAGAGCACCCCAGATAAGCCCCCATGACATTTGCTGCCAGTCTGCCGCAACTCCCCATCCCGGCTCGCACGTCGCCAAACTGAACGGCCTTCAGGACTCTTCGCAAAGATTCGCAAAGAAAGCATTCCAGAGATCGCACTTGCAGTGGATGAAAAAGAAGGACAGAATCAAAAGACCGGAGAACCCCACATGTGTAGTTTAACCCGAATTTAAATGGGATACTGTTAGGATACTATCGCCCCGCGAAATCAAGAAGAACAAGAAGACGAAACGATAACGGGGGAAATGATTCGCTGAAAAGACTTAAGGGGACACCCTTTGCGAATTGAGTTTGGGGACTTAATTATCTGAACAATCTTAGGGGGACACCCCTTGCGATTTGAGATTTGGGGACTTGATTGTCAGAATGCTAGGAGACACCCCTTGCGATTTGAGATTTGGGGACTTGATTCTCTGGAAAGAACCTTAGAGTGACACCCTTCGCGACTTGAAAAATTTTAGGGGGACAACCCTTGCGATTTGAGATTTGGGGACTTCATTATCTGAAAAATTTTAGGGGGACAACCCTTGCGATTTGAGATTTGGGGACTTGATTATCTGAAAAATCTTAGGAAACACCCCTTGCGATTTGAGATTTGGGGAGATGATTCTCTGAAAAATCTTAGGAGACACCCCTTGCAATTCGAGATTTGGGGACTTGATTCTCTCAAAAAAATCTTGGGGGACAACGCCTTGCGATTTGAGATTTGGTGGCTTGATTATCTGAAAACTCTTAGGGGGACACCCCTTGCGATTTGAGATTTGGGGACTTGATTATCTGAAAAATCTCAGGGGGACACCCCGACTTGACATTTGGAGACTTGATTCTCTGAAAAATTTTAGGGGACACCCCTTGCGATTTGAGATTGGGGAAACGATTCTCTGGAAAAACTTAGGAGGCACCCCTTGCAATTTGAGATTGAGGGGATTGATTCTCTGAACAAATCGTAGGAGGACAGCAGTCTAACCGCCAAAGCGGAGGAATTGAAGGGCACGGGGCAAACAGTCTAACTGCAAAAGCGGCGAATTTCAAGAGCAAGGGGCAAACAGTCTAACCCCAAAATCGGAGAATTTCAAGGGCAAGGGGCAAACAGTCTAGCCGCAAAAGCGGAGAATTTCAAAGGCAAGGGGCAAACAGTCTAACCGCAAAAGCGGAGAATTTCAAAGGCAAGGGGCAAACAGTCTAACCGCAAAAGCGGAGAATCTCAAGGGCAAGGGGCAAACAGTCTAACCACAAACGCAGAGAATTTCAGGGCAAGGGACAAACAGTTTAAGCGAAAGCGGAGAAATTCAAGGGCAAAAGGCAAACAGTCAAACCACAAAAGCGGAGAATTTCAAAGGGTAAGGGGCAAACAGTCAAAACCGCAAAAGCGGAGAATTTCAAGGGCAAGGGGCAAACAGTCTAACCACAAAAGCGGAGAATTTCAAGAGCAAGGGGCAAACAGTCTAACCGCAAAAACGGAGGATTTCAAGGGTAAGGGACAAACAGTCTAACCGCAAAAGCGGAGAATTTGAAGGGCAAGGGGCAAACAGTCTAACCGCAAAAACGGAGAATTTCAAGGGCAAAGGGCAAACAGTCTAACCGAAAAAAGCGGAGAATTTCAAGAGCAAGGGGCAAACAGTCTAACCGCAAAAGCGGAGAATTTCAAGGGCAAGGGGCAAACAGTCAAAACCGCGAAAGCAGAGAATTTCAAGGGCAAGGGGCAAACAGTCTAACCGCAAAAGCAGAGAATTTCAGGGCAAGGGGCAAACCGTCTAACCGCAAAAGCGGAGATTTGCAAAGGCAAGGGGCAAACAGTCTAACCGCAAAAGCGGAGAATCTCAAAGGCAAGGGGCAACA